AACTCTTTTTCCCAATCTGTTAAATAAGATGTTACAACCTTGGGTGCTGCTGCACGATAATCAGTTTCGTTCTCCGCAGCTTCCATTCCCCAGTAAACCTGTAAATAAAATTTCTTCTAATTTTTTGCATGATTATTTTTACTGGTTGGAAAAAAAAAACTTGACTAGGTAGCTTGCCTTGTTGTCATGATAATATGTTGTATCTTTTCATTCTTTTTACCCTCATTTTATCAAAATTGTCCAAGAACGGCGACTTCATCAAATTCTACGTTTGTATAAAATAATTAGAAAAAGGACTGATGGAAGTGTTATTCAAAATGCAATAAAACCCGTTTATTTAAATAACCTCATTAAGCGGATGACTATAGATTTCCGCTGGTTGTGAAACTTATAAAGTTTATGAGTTAATGCTGCCAAAAGTTTGGTTGGAGGCTATGGTAACTAATATAAAACGATTCGTTCATAAAATTCATTTATTGGAACCTATAGAACGCTTTTATATTATGTTGTTGTTGTTGTTGTTCTCAGTCTTTTTCTCTCGTTTTTTGTTTTAGAAAAAAATCGCTTTTCTCTTTAACTACTGCACCAATTTCTTCAAAAATGTTCAGTGGTTAAATATTGTTGTTGTCGCTAGAAGGCTATTACTTTTATTTAGTTTAAAAATTTCTATAGGATCGAAGAGATTCGTTTTTATTTCATATATATTTATTAATATATAAAACACAGTTGATCGGTACATCTACAACAATCTTAATCATTAATCATAGAAAATACACAATCATAATTCATCATATAAGATAATCAAATATTGTGCATACATGGTAATATATTTCGATTTTGTATGCAATGTATAGTGACAATATTTCTCATTAATGTATAAAACACAGTTGATCGGTACAGTCACATCATTATTTATCACAGGTGTTATACATGTATAATCATATAAATACCATCATTTATTGTACATATATATCTTAAAACTTTCCATTTTTAATCATGTTTCTTCATTTTGCCATTGTTATATGCAATGAACCGTTCAATTTCCCTCACTTCATACAGATATGAGGTAAAATATGAACAGTGTTTTTTTTCTGTATCTTACAACGATATAGATGAAACCTGGCAGCAAGAAGTATACAATTACACAATTTGTTATAAAAAATAAAACACATATCCCAACATGAAATCTCTTTTGGAAAAGATAAATTTAATTCCTGTTTTTGAATATATCCACATGTTCAGAGATTCCCAAAACTGTTGAACAACTATACAATCATAGAAAAAGTGGCTGGTAGTTTCAACATTAGAATGACAGAAATCACGTAACTTTGATGAAACAAGTTTGAATTTGTACAATCTATTGTTTAGTTAGTACTATGGCACCATGGAACATTTTCACGTAAAAAGATTGCAATTTAGTTTCAATAGTACAATAAAATATATTCATATACAATTTATTTCAATTAAAATCACTTTATAAAAAAATCAGATCTGTCCATTTTTTTCTTGATTTATCTGGGAATATAAATTTGATCAGATTCAACTTTTCATATAGATACTTTTATTTACTTTTCCTGTTTCGAATGTTTCAGAAATAAAATAAGATACGTTCTCTTCAGCGCCACTTAATACACTAAAATCAGTACAGTTGCCAATACTGCATAACCAATCATCAGGTAAAACTCCAGTGATGTGATAATAATTTACATATTCTTCATCACTCTCATCACTATTCCTACACATATTTGCTAAGTGTCTTATTTATATTTATTCCATGATAATATCAAGGTTCGATAAAATATTTTTTCCTGGCATAAGAAATACTTTTGTTAGACCATATAGGTTGATCAAAATTTGACATTTTCCAAACGAAAAGAACATTTTTACAGAAAAACCATTTTTTAAATACATTTCGTATATGGATGTAAAAGGTAAATGCTTTACATCATGACTCGTTTTTTTTTATTGTGATGACGTTATCACAATTATGAATTGCGCATCTTGTGGCAGTTCCGCGTTCGCGCTCGTTGCAACTTGGTGGCCAGTCGAAGTTGGAAAGACCACGGTACGGTACCGGTACCGTAAAAAATTAGATACCTGTACTACTTCGTTTTGGCTTTTGTATCCACATATTTTATCATTGCTCTCTTGTTTATATATAGTTTATTGGGACGTGAGTGTTTGGGACAAAATTTAAATTTTTTAGTCACGGTTTAGTAAACTACAATATGCATATAAAAAATGAATAGATGTCAATTTGATCATCAAATAAAAGTTGCCAAAGATTTACAAACTTGATTTAACTCACTACCCCGTGTGGAATTCTCAGCATTGCGTGCCCGTCTTTTGTGTGAGCCGAATATTTTCTTGTCAACTGAATATTTCTGTGAATGATAAAAGTCATTGTATTTATTTGGTTGTGGCTTAAATACAAATAAATAGCAATACAAGTGTACAAGACTCACAAAACGCGTTAACTATATATTTTATATAAATGGATCTTCAGACGTCCAAGGCCTGAAACTTATGAAACTTTTGATTTTGCAGGTCATCCAATTACTTTACATATTTTATTCTTTAGATATATCTATATGGTATGAAAAATCACCGCGTAACGTCTGCTAGGTGGTAAACCGACCTAACTAACAAATTCTGTAATATAAAACTGACTGCAGTCGTGTTTAACCACAGACCAGCCCACATTTATGCGCGGTTACTAAAATATTATTCTCACACTATATTAATACACTAATCAGGAATAGACGAAGGATGTGGAACGGTCTAATGGAAATGAGATTGTGAGTGACGTAACCGTCAACAATTAAAAGTTAATTAGCGAATTCCTCATTTTTAATAAAGTAAAAAGATAACTCTTATATTAATAAAACCATTTTAGTGGATGTCACAAATTTATACATGGTCTTATTATGTTAAATCGTGGAATCCGGGTATTTACTAACCGTTGAAATTTGTAGAATATAATCAGTGTCCTAGTCAAAATATATTTTTACCAATTCTAAGTTTAGTCTGCGTTTTGAGTACCAATTACTTTTAGATCGAGTTCAAGTACTATCCAGTCCATGCATTAGTTTATTTGGCCGGAACAATGAATAACAAATGATCAAATTTATCACCCGTCACAAGTCTTATCAAATCTTTGTCTAACAAATTCAGTCAAGTCGTTATGGAAAATATTTATTTGAATAATTTGAGTCAAGCTCAATTTGATTCTTCGAGACATACCACGAATAGTCCATCTATGCCACCACTGTTAATTTTACTTACATTACGACTAAAAGAGGTGGTACTATTTGAAATAGATAAAATACATATATTCCTTCTATGTTTCCGACTCTAAGACAAAAATTTGACGCTAATTTGAAATCTTCTACTGAGGAATTTTAGAAAATATTTCAGCAGTTTTTTCCTTCACAATATATATAGATAATATCATCAGAGCTTTATTCGTTTTCACTCATTTCATGGGCTCATTATCTCAACCCAAAAAGATAATAAACTGATAATTGGTCCATCGTAATTTTGACCAATTTAACAAATTATGCAGAATGATTAAAAAAATTGAATGGATATTTTCTTCGAAACTGTACAAATGCCAATGTATCTATTTAATTACGGTATGTCGGGTTTTGTAATGGATTAATTGGATATTAATTCATACTGTTAAGTCATTCGTACATTTTTGCGGTTGGATATGTGGTCAATATTCATTCTTTGAATCTAAGTGGATATTTTGTTTTTTTTACGGAAAGCGTGTGTTTGTCTTATCATTCATATTTTATTATGCATACAATAGCCATGTTTACCACTTGGGTAATATTTTTTCACGCGGTATATATCCGTAACACAAGTGATTATATTGGCTCTATCATATGTTTATATTGGGCTGTATAAGTATGAACATTGAATGATAACATAAAGTTGAATCAATATTACAGATTTTTGCAAAATAATTAAACTTGAAAAACATCACGATTCTCAAAAAAATGTTTTAATGTAGCCCCATTAAAAATGTATCCACATGTCAATTATTTACGGCGCTCAAAAGTATTTCAAAATGATTTTGAAAAGGAAACCCTCCCTACTTTGCTACTCCCACATCAATAGAAAAACTTGAGATAAGTGGAAGTTGGCGCCCTATTTTTTTAGAAAATTCCTATAAACGTGACAGTATATCCAAACAATGATTTTATAAATGCTTTCATTATGAATCCACAATTAGATTCTGCCTGAATCGCTTTTGCAATATCATATCGACACTGTGAGAACTAGATATAGAAGTTGAGTTTTTTACTTTGAGTTCATTTACTCATAGTTTCTAACAAAGTTAATTGACGTTAAATTTAATCTCGTTAATTGACATAATTAGACGCAATACGACACTATTTGACGCAAATTACGTTCCTTCATAATCGTGTGAAAAAAGTGAAATCCATTTTTGTGTCATTAAGTCTATGCCATGTTCGCAACGTTGTTAACGATATATCCATCATTTAGATGAGTTAATTCACATAATTACATACTCAACAAAATAGTTGAATAACAACGATGATTTCTTGATTTGTAGTGAAATACGTATTACGTTTATTATGTGAAACTTTTAATCGGATTTACTTGAAATAAAAATAATCGAGTTTTAAATATTTTCATTTAATTAATATGTTTTCAGAAATTGGAAAGTAATTATTGTATTATTCGTCAAAATAATTATATTGACGCACGTCATGAGACATTATTACTGTTACATCCAGGAAAAATGAACACTTTACGTTGAGCAAACAAATGAAAATTTCCCAAACTTTTTTAGTCATTTAGAAGGGTTGATAAATAACGTGATATACTTACAAAAATCAGTGATTTATACGTAATTTTTAACAGTTTATACAGTTATAATGGGCAGCGTCGTTCCAAGTTTTAGACATTTTGTTTGGCTTTGAGGGGTAATTTTAGAAGTACGAAAAAATAAACTTTAAATGAATTCGAGCATAGAAAAACCTAACAATTTATATTGTTCAGTACGCTGTTGGAATTGTTTTGTGCAATCGGAAATCGAATAAAAAATTTTTAAAACTTTAAGACTTTTTAAATAATTTTTATTATTGACGTTAAAAAAGCAAATGCGTTTAGAGGCATTGGTTGTTTGAGCAGGCGCTGCTTCCAAAATATTAAAAAAAATCAACTAATATTTATATTGTATTATGAATAATAGCATTAACTGTTGATAAATATTTTACAGTCCATTTGCAGTTTGATAAGAGAGAATAGAAAGAACAAAACATGCATGCAATAAAAATACTTACAATTGTTGTTGTTGTTCTGGCATCTGCATACAGCATCGAATACCATGAAGGTAAGACGATAAATACATTTTCCTATTTGTAATATATGATAAAGCAAAACGTCATCTTATGGATGATATAATTGATGAATTGGTCTATTTCAAAATATCAAGTTACAATCGCGTCTTGTGGAAATTTAAGAAAATCACTAAAAAAACTTTTGAAATTCATATGACATTGGGTAATACTTATACTTAGAGAACACACTTTTTTTTTAGACAAATGCACCTCGAAACCTAACCCTGGAGCATGTAAAGCATTTTTACGTCGTTTTTATTATGATCCAAAAGAAGGAAAATGTAAGGTCTTCATTTTCGGTGGGTGTGGAGGAAACAGAAACAGATTCGAAACAAAAATTGATTGTGAAGAAGCATGTAATCCAGGTAAACTACTGTTTTTTTTTCAAATTTATTTTGTTTAGCATCGTATTTTCAAGTGTGTCTGTATAGAAAATACTTTATGTTTGACTTTGGGCTTTTAAACCGTATGTGACGAGAGATATCAGTTGTGAAAAAATGTATACGCAATAATATGATATAGTAGGGTAGGCGACTTAGAAACCCCTACATGTAGGTGCGTCCCTAATTGGAAACCAGCAATTTTTGTGATGTCCCCGGTTGTAAATAATACATGCAAAATGGGGTATGTCAATTATTATATGGACGCGATTCTGTACCATTTGACCAGATCAGTCAGGTCGATGACCATAACAGCGGCCGATGCTAATAAATTTGTGGTTATCATTACCGATATATGAAAAAAGTCGGAGAAAAAAAACTTGATGTTCGGCTTGGCAATATTTTTATAATTTTACAGTATTTCATTGATTGAGAGGAATCGATGTAGTTTAAATTGGATGTAACAATGTAAATGGTTTTTCATTCATATTTCAGACATATTGTGTAGATTCCCACTCGATCACGGAGAAGGCGACGCCTTTTTTCGAGACTATTACTACGATGAAGAAAAAGATGATTGCTTTGAGTTTCTGTACTATGGCTTCAAAGGAAATACAAATCACTTCTTTACTCGTACCGAATGTCTGTCTGTTTGTGGCTCTAAAAAGCGATAGACATAAAATTTGATTTAAAAATTAGTTTGTGCTATATCTAAAAGTTGATGTACTCAGATTTATATTCATTCCAGAAAAATTCAATGTGATGCTTTTAAAAAATTTCAGGAAATATGCGAAGGACATTAATAAGCTTAGGACGATTTGTATTTCATTCATTTGTTGTAAATAGTTCTAGATACTATTAATAAAAACACAACATGAGAAAATGTTATATACCGATATACTAAATTCAAGTCGTTATGATCAAATTTAATATGTACATAAAAATGTTTTTTGACAATGAGTTGAGGAAATAAAAAAAATGTGTTAGGTACGAATGGTATGATATTTTTGAGAATTCATTCAGTGTGATTTTGTTATTATCACATTATCATAGATCAATATTTAAAGCGAGATTCTGATTCTGGTGCATTTTATTTTTATTTTTTCTCTTATTGTTTCTGTTTATAATAAAGTAATTCAGCAAGTCTTGGCATGTATTAGATACAAGGCAGGTCTCGCGGCATTGCAACATATGCTGCGGCAGTGAGCACCATCCTTCCGTAGACTGCGCTTATTTTTGGTGTGACTGTGCAGTATTGAATTCCACCGCTATAGATCATATTCATGTTAATTTTTGTTTAATATAATTGCTTTGCGTCGTTCATCTGAATTCTAAAACGAAAAAAAGCAAATGAAATGTTTTGTAGTAACAAAATTTCAATTCTAAATTACAAACCTCATATCTACTCATGCTGAGCTCCGCAATTTGTTTTGAATGGGCCCCGCAACAGTTGAGGCCACTCTGAAACAAAGAACAACTCATCTAACTTGGAATGAACGTCACATCATTCACTTGTAACAAAATATAAGTGCTGTCCAGATTTGAAGTTAAAATTGCACGAAAACGCTACACAAAAAATGAGTCACAATCAAACAACAAAATCGATTAACAAAATCGAAAAATGCATTGAAGAATATAAATCGCATAATTAGATTCATTAAGCTACCGAAGCGTGGGTGTTTCATCCCCACTATCCAATGTACTAATAAGTTTTGGAAGACGAGAGTTTTTCAAGTGTCACGTTTGATCACTTCGACGTCATCCACCGCAATTAGAACTATCAGGATAAAGTTTCAATAGCTTTTCATACCAAAATATCAAATTTAAAGAGTAACCAAGATAAGGTGCTGGACATCACAATAAAAAGTTGTGATAATTGAATCTGGGAAGTCTTTATAACCCAATCTTCCTAAATCTAAAACTGCTGATACCACGAGAAACAACAAAACTTGATTTTTCGAACTAGTTTCAGAAAATATCAATTTACAAAATCCAAGAACGGATAATATGTGACTGGACTAATTCAATATGCATCCACATTAAATCAATTTTGCTCTTTACTTACGGTCCAGTGAGTTGAACAAATAGGTCGCTTTAGTTCCAATATTAAACATGTTTGATCTCATCACGTTATCGTACTCAGTCTTGGTATCACGAAATTTTCAGGGGTCGGCAAATTTATGTACTACTAGGCCGCTAAACAAATTTCCGGCAGTAAGCTGGCCGTATAAATTTCGTCTATGAACAATCACCAAATTAAACTTTATGAAACACGCAAGTCTTATTTTTGTGTTTAACGTTCGTTTCAGTGGATGGGGAACTACATAACGCAATTTTCTCGCTATAACGACTTCATTTGTCCCTCCAACTTTGCTTCAAACAATCTTCGCTAAAGTTACTCTGATTAGTATGTACCATATATGACAAAACCTTCATCGATTGATAAAAAAAGGTTCCATGGCTGATTGATATTTGTGGAAAGGGAAGTGACTTCAAATTATGCATCACGACCAAATAGGCAAATGAGAATGGGTTAGCTTCTTTCAATTGTTTTTCACGTTTTAATAGTGCGTGTTCTTTTATTGTGTTTACTCCCCTTTACAAATGCTTTTTTGTACTGATCGCGATGCAAGATGCACACGTATGTTGTTTTTAATGTTCGTTTTTTCTATTTTTATTTCATCATGACCAAGAGGAACTAATATTCTCTTTCATCAAATTTTCAAAAATTCTAGTTGAATCGACTACAAAACATTTACAATTTCAACTTCCAACACATAATTTCGAAAGAATAGAGCCAGATGACCATTACTTTCGGTTTTTAATTTTCACTCAGAGTTCTATATGAGAACACTTAATTTCATCACGCTTGTCGCTGATTTTCATGTCGGTATTCAGTTATGGCTATACCGTAGGCGTAACCTATGCGGTTTATTTAGTCAAATATTCAAGCATTGCTTTTGCCTTCATGAATACATAGTTTACAGTTTTTATATTAGATAACCTTGCCTCAATAATTCTTATCAGAAGATATTAAAACGAAAGTTTTAAAGTGACATATACATGTTTATATATTTATATCAAAATTTTTCGTTAGTTATTTTCATTTTTTTTTTAAATATTTGCTTTAAAACAGTTTTCCTACCTGTTTTGTTCGGTATAATCGCCATGTGTCACACGCCTCCGTTTCCTACACATCATTCTCAACCCAATGCTACGCATTTACCTATATCGGAGAATATGATTTATTGAGAAACACAATATTTTCTTTTCGACATTTGCGAAAATCGAAGTGACTCAGAAAAATTCATCGAAACCAGGTAGGCAAATATGAGTGGGTTAGCTTCCTTCCATTGTTTTGCACGTTTTGATAAAGTGCTTAAGAATTGTATTCAAAACAAAAACACAAAGACAAATTTTTCATGCTGTTTATTCTCTTTTTTGTAAATGCTTTATGTGTATATCGTCGTGCAAACTGCATACATATGGCTTTTAGCTTTAATGAGTTTACCTCAAAAGCAAAGTAAATATTATTTTTCACAGAATTTTCAAAATAATCCAATATGGACTACTCCTAGTACTAGTAATAAGCATGGAACATTTACAAAATCAACAACTTCTAATAAATATTTCACAAGAATGTCGCCAGATGTCTATTACTTTTATTTTTTTCAAACTCACTCCTTCAAATTACGCCAATACAATATTTACTAATTCTACCCCGTCCTTTGGCGTTTAATTGTATGTAGCCTAAATTAAACTATTTTGTCAAAGTATAGCACAGTCAACGGGACCTCTGTGTTCATATATTCAAGCATACAAAAATGAATTTTTAAGACAAAAGTTGACAACAAAGCTATGTTACTCAAATGATGACACTTTAGCTATTTGAGTTCAACTGTCGTCTATAAGAAATATTTATTGGTTACATTTGAGCCATTCAAGAAATAGGAAATAGATCAAGACATATTAGCTGGAAGCGATTTAGATTCTTGAAACAGCATTTCAAAATCATTTTGTATCGTCTTGATCCATTTGTATTCCCCTTCGAATGATTTTTCGTCAGTTGTTTCAAATAGTTCTAAGCATTTGTCTTGACAACCCTTGGTGCTTGGAGAATTGATATACGCTGCAACAACCTTATTTGTTGTATCGTATTCGGATACAACTACGGCCAAGTCAGTGTTGAATGAGATTTTGAATGCTTCCTCCAATAATTTAATCCAATCTTTCAGTATTTTAACAGAAGTATCAAAAAGCTTTATATCTTGGCACAAATAGTGGAACGTATAATAATGGCCAAATACTCTTCCCGCAGCTTTTCTTGCTTCTAGAGGAACGGGTTCTATAGGATAGTGTGAAGGGATAACAATGATGGCCTTGAGGAACTGCTTTGCTTTCTTTGACGCCTTTTCATAAAGAGTGGACTCGAAGAAACGATTGCGTGTTATTTGTATTTCTTTCAGACTTTTCATCAATTGCGCCTTGTTGCTTTCACGCAATATATTGCATAAAACCGATTCGATCACAATCCACCAGATCGTAGTTTTCTGCATTCCCGTTTACGTCAAAGTTAAAATATTTCTTGAAGCGAAAGATGGTCAATCCAGACAAAATGTTTTTCATTTTAAATTCATCGTCAACATCCATCGATTGAATAGGTTCTTTATATTTAATGTCTTCTTGGTCTTTCTTAAATTCTGCTTCAAAAACCAATTGACCTTTAACTTCAAATAAAAGATTGGATGATTTGACTCCATTTTTAGGGGTCCAGTTTACCGTGTACTTGGGTACTCCATCCAAGTAAAATACTATTGCGGTATGACGCACCCCGCTGTGTGCAACGCACCATGACCAAGCAAATGTTTTACAATTGAAAATATCAGTTTCAACTACATTTTTTTCAACTATGTAAGGCCTGTTGTAGAAGATACCTTTCACTTCCATATTGTAGTTGTCAGCAGATATTCATCTGTAGCAAAAAAACACGAGTGGTATTTTGATTTCACAAATGGTAAATAGCAAATGAGATTAATAATTTATAAAATAAAACATGCCCATTATTGTCTCTATGCTGTATATATATACAAAGTTATAATGAAGTCATTTATGAGTATGTCATTTTTGAATATTGAGTTGAGACTATTTAGACGTCAAACGACCGAAGCTCAATATCAAAAGAGTAGAATAAAACCGGTATTGTACTTGCGAGAGTCTTATCAAAAAAAATTATCTTGTCGTTTGAAGCAATGACAGGTTTCTACTCTGAGTTTATATGTGTTTAGGTTGTAATACCCAGTGTAGGTCACAGTATTATGTTGAATTGCGTACGATGGCTAACTTAATAATCTTTTACTAAATACTGAATAATAATACTGAATTTATTGATACCTATTACCACTACCATGTGTGCACAGCTTAATTACAAAAATGTGTAGTGTTTATGAAAATTTCTTATTTATAAGTCGCACATAGGTGGCGCCATTGCGCACGTTAACATTTGCTTGCCTCGCGCATCGCTTATTGTTGTCGAGTTTTTGTTGTCTTTGCAAACCAACAGTAAGTAAATTCATTGCGTCAATTGGAACAACAATAAATTGTGTATAATTTGCATCTACAATTCCCCACAATAAACCATGAAACGGAAACCACTTTCCAAAAAATCCTTTAAATGTGGCAGTATGTTATTTCGAGCTTTTTGAGTTTACTATGATTAACCGAACAAATATCCCTTTTTTATCAGATTTCCAACGAATTCTGTTAAATCAACTACAAAATATCTATAAATTTAGGTTCCAACTCACAACTCAAAAGAATATTGTCAGATGCTCATTATTTTAAGGTATTTTTTTCAAATTCACTTCCATTTCTATATAGGTTTTCAAAATTTTGCTGTTTTCATTCAATTCGATGGACCTCTTTTTGTGATATATGGGAACATTTTATTTTGTCACGCTTGTCTGCTGATTTCATCGGTATTCAGTTTTATCTATGCTGTTACCTATGCGCGGCCTCTGTGTCCATATACTCAAGCATTGCTCTCTTGTTTACACAGCTTATACTTCTTCTCTTAGAGAGCCTTGTTTCAAAAAGTCTTATCAAAAGAAATGAAAACGAACTGTTTCAAGATGACATATTGTCGAATGTTGTGCTACATCCGTAATTGAGTTCTTTGAACGAAGGATCATTTATTAGAAGTTATACACAAGAACATAATATGCAATGCGCTTATTCGGTGACTCCCATTACTCTAGTATAATAAAATAGTACGGTATCGCGTATGAACACTGTGTGAAGTGGTCAATTGGGATGCCATAGAATAAGTAGGTCATAAGTACAAATAAGCAATATGCACCACATTGACACCAGTATATATTTCGAAATAGTGAGGTAGTTATCTATAGGTATTTCCCCCCAAAAATTGCTTTAAAACAGGTTTGCTCATCTGTATTGTTTAAAATGGTTATGTGCCACACCTTCGTATCCCACACATGATCCCCAACCCAATGTTACGCATTTTCATATATCCGAAAATAGGATCTTTCGAGAAACACAGTATTTTTTTCTGATATCTGTGAAAAAGGAAGTGACTTGGAATAATTCATCGAAACCAAGTAGGCAAATATGAGTGGGTTGGTTTCCTTCCATTGTTTTGTAAGTTTTGATGAAGTGAGTATGCATTGTATTCAAAACAAAAGACTTATGAAGACTAACATTATTTTTTTGATTTTTTTTATGCTGTTCACACTTTTTCACAAATGCTTTTACGGGATTGCGCAGTGCAAAATACATACATATGCTAGGTTAAAGATTTTTCAGCTTTTTTTACCCTAATTATGCAAAACAAATATTCTTTTTTCTATAGATTTTAAAAAATTTAATTTTAATCAAGTATGAAACATTTATAATTTAACAACTTCCAATAAATCTTTCACAAGATATCAATATTTTTCAAAGTCACTCTTTGACTTCCGTCAATACAATATTTACTAATTCTACCCCTCCCTCCGGCGTCCAATTTTATGTAACCATTATTTAACTATTCAGTCAAAGTATAGCACAATCAACGTGACTTCTGTGTCCATATATTCTAGCATACAAATAATATATTCCACCATATTCAATATATACAACAAAAGTTACAGCAAAGCTATGTTATTCAATTTAAAATGTTTTAACTATTAGAAAACAACTTCGGAAATAATCAAAAATATTCAATGATAACATTATAGCAATTTAGGAAATAGCTCAAGAAATATTAGCTGAAAGAGCGGTAGGGCCGTTATACAGCATTTCAAAATCATTTTGTATAGCCTTGATCCATTTGTATTCCTCTTCGAATGATTTCTCGTCAGTTGTTTCGAATAGTTCTAGGCATTTGTCTCGACAACCCACAGTGCTTGGAGAATCGATATACGCTGCAACATCATTATTTTCTACACCGTATTTGGATAAAACTACGGCCAAGTCAGTGTTGAAGGAAGATTTGAATGCTTGTTTTAATAATTCAATCCAATTTTTCAATATTTTGACAGAAGTATCGAAAAGCTTTATATCCTGACACAAACAGTGAAACGTATAATAATGGCCAAACACTCTTCCAGCAGCTTTTCTTGCTCCCAGTGAGACGGGTTTCATAGGGTTGTGAGAAGCATAAACAATGAAGGAACTAAGAGATTTCTTTGCTTCCATTGACGCCAGTTTGTAAATGGTGGACTCGGGGGATAAACGGCTGCGCAGTTCGTTTATTTCTTTCAGACTTTCCATCAATTTCGCTTTGTTGCTTTCACGCAATATATTGCACAAAACAGATTCGACGTGATCTCTGCAATTACAACCTACCAGATCGTAGTTTTCTGCATTCCCGTTTACGTCACTGTTAAAATATTTCTTGAAACGAAAGATGGTCAATTCAGACAAAATGTTTTTCATATTCAATTCATCATGAACATCTATCGATTGAATCGGTTCTTTATATTCAATGTCTTCCGGGTCTTTCATAAGTTCTGCTTCAAAAACAAATTGACCTTTAACTTCAAATAAAAGATTGGATAATTTGACTCCATTTTCAGGGGTCCAGTTTACCGTGTACTTGGGTACTCCATCCAAGTAAAATACTATTGCGGTATGACGCACCCCGCTGTGTGCAACGCACCATGACCAAGCAAACGTTTTACAATTGAAAATATCAGTTAAAACTACATTTTCTTCAACTATGTAAGGCCTGTCGTAGAAGAAACCTTTCTCTTCCATAATTTTGTTGTCAGTATAGATATTCATCTGTAGCAAAATAATACGAATGATATTTTGATTTTACAAATGATAGGTAACAAATGAGATCATCGATTTTTAGAATAAATCAATCACTGAGAGGTTTCTACTCAGACTTTATGCCGTGTTTAGTTTGGTGAATTATTTCGAAATTTCCTGCAATTGTAACCTGGAAGTAAAGTTTAATGAATTATACTAAAGTATACGATGTCTCTAAGTTTAATGTGACAATACCCTAATCATTCAGATTATTGTTACAAGTCTGAAAGATCGATCTCACAAAGCTAATATCCCATTGTATTGTAAATTAATACCTATTGTAGCTTATAGTATTAATATTGAAATTGCGTACGGTGGCTAACTCAATAAATCTTTACTAACACATATCGCTAAAGGTTGAAAATAATGAATTTGTTGATAAATATCACCATTGTATACTATGTGTACACAGCTCAATTACAAAAATAACTAGTGTTCATGAAAGCTTCCTTTCGATAGACGTCGCACATAGACGCGCCATTGCGTACGTGCACAACCGGCCGTATCGTACATTGTTGTCGAGTTTCCCTTTTCTTCCAAACTAACAGCAAATCTATCGCGTCATCTGAAACAACATTAAATTGTGTATGGTAAGCATCTACAATTACCTTCAATCTTCTACGTTCCCAATTTTTGTAATAGAGGAGAGTATGAATTTTTTGATTGTCAAGTTTTTCCTCAAAGCTAGCCAACCTCCAGGTAAGACCCACGATTTACTGTTTCAGGCGATGTGTGTGAAGTTTGATTGGTGGGTAATTGTGTTATCCGAAAACCACGAAACGATATTTGTAAACTGATTTGAATGTTTTCTTGTTAGAGTCCATGTGATTTAAATTCACCTTTATGAAATGAAACGTAAATTAAAATCCGGAAATTACACGTCACCTGCTTATTCATCCACCAAATCACGCATTCATATCTGTGCTTTGATAATTTCTTTCTGTTGATTCATTGCTATGCTTGCTAAGTAGTCTGAAATCATTACTCTTGCCTATCTAAATTGGCGTTATCCACCAAGCCACAGTTAATGGACCCTATAATTATGATAAAAGATGAAACCTATAAAAATTAAACAGAGTCAAGATTTCTCCTGCCATTTTACGTGGAATAGTATACAAACACAAGATAGGTGACATGTGATGTGTCTGAGACAAACTTCCAATAGACAATCACGATAAAAGTTGTGAATTTCTTATTTCGCATCGAGTTTTCGCATAAGACTTGTGAGAGTGGAATGACAAAACAAGATTGTAAAATATTGTCGTGCTCGTGTGATTCACGAAACTGTAGTATGTGTATTCGTGGGACAACTGGAATAGCACACTTAGCAACCAGCTTAATTAGATGAAACTGTGTTATGATTTTATTTGGCTTATAACGATATTTGAACAAACTATAACCAGTTTTATTCTTAGATTTTGAAAGGTCCTGAACGAATGACGTAAATGTATTAGTCATTCAATGATGAACTCAGTGTGGACGTACGTAAAGAATGTACGTGTATATTCGATCCCATGATTTGTCAATGAGACAGGAAATAATACAGCGTTTGCAACAACATAAAGTAGGTTACATTAAATTCTACAACTGCTAAAAAGCCAGAAACTGTTGGTTGACTATGCCGAATAAGTTCAGATAGATATAGCAAGGTAAACAAGCAGCTATTTAAGTCAAGAAGTTATTTGAAAAAATTCCAAAGTGGAACTTATTCTACAATGTCATTAGACAGTTCTGAGTAAGACGGTACCGACGTGTTTGTATGTGAGTCGTATATATTAATAAAACCAGACTAGAAAATAACCAACAATCTGCGTACCGTTTATCAACTTACACTGCTCACTTACATCAACTCACACTTCACCAAATTAATATTAAAAAATTTAAGTGTAATAGATTAGCATGGTTCCATTACATTTGAACCCACGACAATTGCACTTGCATACTATTGCACACATGGGAATTTTTTTTTGTTTTAAGAATATTTGAACCCATACTGACCCTAACCCACGGGTTTTAGTACCCGCATATAGATTGAACCCGCGGATATACACGTGGGTTCAAATGTACATGGGTTCAAATGTCCGTGGGTGCAAATGTACGTGGGTTCAAATGTACGGTCAATGATTAGCATACATCACTATTTCTTGAAAAGCTTGATTCATTTTATTTTTTGAACGATCACGAAAAACTCAATAAAATATATCCTATCTATATATATGTATTTTTTCCTGCAGGCAATATATAAATTGTTGTTCAAGTATTTGGTCTTATCAGAATTATACCGACTGAGGCACAATGAATCTGTATCTTACTTCCGGTCTTGTTTTGATGACATTGGCAAAGTGTTGTTTCATGCTGGAGCAGGTACAGGTGACAATGGAAGAAGGTAACGTTTGTATTTGTTATCTGTATTACCTCAATTATTTTTAATACTTTGTTATACTTGCCGTTTTTTAATATAGCCTGGGAATTACATGGAAATTTATTGAACGCCCAAATATTAAATATATAAGTTTGGAAAACTGTTATGTATGTTATGTTATGCCTATGTTGATGGTGCAATGTTGAAAATCTAAATATATATTTTCTTTAATTTTAAAGTTATTGTAGAAGAATTTTTTAGACCAATTGTTAGGAAATAAGAATATATACGGAGATTGAATAATTAGTTAGACAACTGGCGAAGCATAAATACATATTGCTTGTTGGCATTGGCATTTATGTTCAAGTTTGATTTATTTTCCAAATCGCAACTTGATAAATCTTTCAATACTTTTAACGATTGTGATTTTGTTCAGAAGTGGATATCTGCTCCCTTCCCTATGTTAAAGGGCCATGCAAAGCTAATTTTGAGAGATGGTACTACGATGGAGAAACATGCACTACATTTCAATACGGAGGATGTAAAGGGAACAATAATAATTTTCTGTCGGAACACGAATGCTCTGTGCGATGTCCGAGTGCGTATTTTCATAAAAACTTTAATAGAGGAACTAAGATGTAAAACTTCATATTTGATTTAATTTTTGATATTTTTAGTTGACTGCCTTGCACCAGCCAAAAAGGGCCAATGCAAAGCAAAACTTGAGCGATTTTACTACGATGCCTACATGAGCGAATGTATCAAGTTTGAATACGGTGGATGCAACGGAAATACGAATAACTTTCGTTCAATCGAGCAGTGCATGGATGCATGTCAAAAGAAATAATCGATATATTCGTACTCTTGAACTTTCTAGTGAGTATAGCGCAATTTGTTCAGATAACTCAGCACATGGTAGTGAGGCATGGATATATTTATTGAATTGTATACAATAATGTCAAATACTTTTACATATAGGGCATTTTATTCCCAATATATAAAGAAAGATTGGAAATAAAGACAAATACCTATATATGGGATTTTAAAGTCGAATTATTCAAAACGTGTGGTGCTTCAACATGACTACAAATTCGCAAAAAATGCCAATATTTTAAAATATTTAAACTTATATATTTTATAAATGTAAACACATTTCAGAGTTTCTAAATTATGTCACCTAAACTAAAAACGATGTCAATTTAATTCTTGAATATACTAGCAGTTGACACAATTTTTTTCAATGAACGGAAAGCAAAATTTTCAATTGCTTCCTTTCATTTAATATTTCATTTACATTAGCTCTCATTGAGCTGAATATTTATATTGTGTTAATGAACGTTACTTATTGACCAACGATTTATGCTTACACATTAGGGCGTTATAACTTCGGAACGCAGCATATGAGACACATGTTTTACAACTATCAATGAAACGAACTTATTATAAATACAAAATATTTCCATAATTAGCACCCGACAGAAACCTTGCATATAGTATGAATAAATAACAAATTCAGTAAATCCTCCCATCTCAAGTGTAGGAAGACTTTACCTGATGGTCCAAACAACTCATTAATATCAATATATACAACGAGAATATCGGTCAGAGACCGAAAACTTATCGATCGAAAGTTAGGGGATCCCCCAAAACAGCGCTCCTACTCCATAGTGACACCTTGTGTCCCATCACTAATTAATTAATAACTCGCTAATTATACGACATATTTCGCCCGAAATCAATAGGTTTCTGGTCCGAGATATGATGATTGCACATGCAAAATCTGGAGCAGATTCAATCTCGCTTCCGTGAGATACCGCGAGCATCTAACAGACAAATACCTATCAACATACTTACCGGTTAAAATCGATAGGTAATGAGGCGCCAATAGGTTAACAAACTCTAACTAACTAGTACTTGATATACATGATATTACACGTTACACATGATATTATTTCCATGAACGTTTTGTGTTTTTAGATTTCTTTATTCGCTGAAGATGGATGAAGATAAATTACAGATACGACGTTTCTCTCTCTCTCTCTTCAATAAAACAATCAATTTTGAAATTTATTCATCACCCTTCAACTTGTAATACATTTTTGCCTTTAAAGTGATATAGTTTCCAATACATTTGCTGGATATGGACAACAATTGTGAGCTCAAAAATGAAATTTACATCATAAGTCAACCTAAAATTACGCTTCCACTTCGTTCACTGTATTTTTATTCCATAATTTACATGCTAGACAGTCGACTGTTATTGACTTATTGACTCTGTAATCGTTCAGATTGTAATGAAAACCTCAATATTGTACTTTTATTTGTGTGACAAATATACATCGGTCATGAAAACGGCATTGATTGATTTATTGGTGATCAACATGCAAGTCCAGTTTAAAATTTATTTCATGTTGCTATTTGTGTGAACAGCATAGAGTGACTGGGAAATATCAATCGATGTTAGAATGTTCAAATATTTTATGAAAACAATAACATTTATATATTTTAGAAAAAAAAGACAGCAATAGATAATAATGTTTTCCCACGTAATTTTGCTAAATCCGATTCTGGAATATGATCTATTCTTCTAGTCCATTGCACGACATACCGTATATTTATCTCCGAATAAACGGTTTAAATAAGAGTGGATTGCATATTCTAAACAATAAAAGTATGAAGCAAATGAAGGAATTAGAATATATTTGGGAACGATTCATAAAATAATTTATTATTTCAGATATGATATGCTTAATTTTACCCTGCACAAATTGAGATTATCGTAAATCCATAATTATGAATTGAAGTTGGCTTTGACAATGCGTTTAAGGATAGCATAACATTGCCTTTACTTTTGTATTATATCTGCAAATACAAAATAACAATCTTGTAGATCAATATTTTTCATAGTAGGCTACTGTGTAGTAATTGCTCCCAACGGAAGATTGATGCATGTTTCAAAGCTACACTCTACGAAATATTTACCGGTAATCGCCTGGCATTACATATTACAGGAATACAGTTGTGAAATTTTAATGTGATTTAGGGTAAAGATTACTAGAATTTTCGGTAAAATCGCTGTTGATCACCTGTGAATTTCACAGGATATCCCTAGTAATTCTCACAGGTTTTATCCGGTAATTTCCATCGGCAATACGTAGTAATATTTACCGACGCTAGCCTGTGAATTTACATTACAAATTAGGTGAATTTACATTCAGAACCCGGTAAAAATTACCGTAGATATCCTGGCATTACATTTTAAAGGACATAATCAGTGAAAATCACAGACTATTTTAGGTAACAAAGTTTATTTATAAAATAAATGTAAGCGTGAAATGAAATGAGAAATTGTATAGTGAAAAGTTAGCAACGCGGAGTAGACATAAACTTCTCGTTGAAGAAGTTTCGCTGGTAGGGTGTCCGTTTATAGTCACTTTAAACAAGTCTCTATTGATAGTCCCTGATATCCCGAGAAGAGAATGGTCTTGGTAGATGGGAAGTCTTTCCGGGTTAATCTTTCCCAGCATGCTGAATGTATTGCACTATCCACTTGCTTTCACGAACTCATGGCACTTTCCTCTTCATATCTCCAAGTCTAAAATGGAATGTACAAGAAGTTTCATCCAAAATTTGAAAATCTTATTTATTAGCGTGTACCAGCTAGCAGTCATTAAAATATCCCACCTTTCTATAAACTTTCATATTTTCTTTAAGTCTTCACTTGGCAAAAATCTGTGGGCAATCAATCGATAAAGAGTTTTCTAGTATATTGCCAAATTTTGTAGATCAGATGGAAATGGTACCTGAAATTATATTCAAATGGAATCAAACATTTAATACTCACTAAAATTGACATACCAAATACTTGTTACCAAAGCAGATGACAAAGTATCTTTTATTGCAATTCAAAAATTAACATTATAACCAACCTCAAATACTTCTTCTTCCTTGAAATAACACATTAGTAAATCCAAGAATGTCAAATTTTTTGAAGACCAAGCCTGGAATTTTTCAGAGTCCAGTGTTGTGGCTGACAATTTGTTCATGCCTTCATAAATTAGAAGAGAAACCACTGTTGAGAAGAAGTGTATCCATATCCAAACTTCATTATATAACTTCATTTAATAATGACTAATTTATGTACATTTTTAATTTCACAAACTCAAAGCATGCACCAGTAAATTGGGCTGGCCTAAATCAAATATTTAATTATCCCCATTCCCCATACTGCAGTACTGTCATAAATCTTGAAACAATTTTTGAATATGTAATATCGAATATGTTCAAATTAGGTATATAAATCTAATCAGTGAATAATTATATAATTAAAAGATACCTGTATATTTCAAAGCCATATTCTCCGAGCTACAGTCTGACAGTGTATTAATGCTGTGATAAAGTAACAGAATGATGGTTTAACATCACCCTTCTGCCATTCTGCCCTTTTTTTCCCAGTCTCTTGTTCCACGTACAGATGTCTCAGTGTATAGACAGAGAGATGTCATTTTCCCTTATTTTCATTCAGTAATTAGACACCGACATTTCGAAGTCAGAAAGCCTAGATCTGTAAAGATGGCAAGATGGCATATTGTATTTTTATTCCAGTATTCCCCAGATTCCTGCATTCGTCACTTTACTGCAGTACCCTGGTACCAGACTGCCAGAGTACTGACAAAAAATTGGGACTTATTGGAAATACGAATCAAGTTCAGGCTGGATTAGGTATCCATAGACATTACACTGTAACATGAATGTACTGACAGATTTACGTACGCTAGTCTAACCAACCTTGTACTGATATAGCTGTATCTGTGTATAGCAGAATAGATTAATTTGGTACGGCAGATCTTGACCTACTACTGTACTACAATCACACTGAACAATACAATAATATTTAGCACTAAACAACACATCACCCACACTGGCATTACTGAATTACCTCACAGAAATACGGCCAACTTAGTAATAACAAAAGCAACTAAGATATAAGATATAACTGCTGTCGACTGACGTAGGCTATATCGTCTTGTCAGAGTCCAAAAGTCTGGAATTCGTCAAACGAACGAAAAAATTAGGGAGTAGAGCAACCAAAAACGGCGCGTGATAATATACCATCTGGTTGGCTGCCCTCTCTTATTAGTGTGCGCGCGCAACCTCGACTAACGCCACGCCCCCTATGTCGATAAATATGACCGACATTGTTTGGTGAATCGGTTTACCGAGACGATTTTTTATTTTTTTACCCCTAAAATGACGGTAAAATTTACCGAACAATTCTTAGAGTGTAGCTGAAACAACAAAGGTTGTCGACGATTGTATGTATTGCAAATGTGTATTACGCGCATGCAATTGATCACGTTGTAGGTCGTAAGTATTCAAAACATTGAATTGAATTAAATTAGCAAATTAATTTGAAATTACAAAATAGGTATAGGTGAAGATGATAAATGTAATTGAGCTTCGTTTGTTTAATTAAGATGATTATTTAACCAAGTATTTTATTCAAAACGTAAACTTTGATTCTCGGAAGCACGATACCTTCATTGCATGTGTAATATGAAAAGCGGCCGCAGTTGAGTACATGGGTGTACCAAACTGAGGCGCAACAAAACGTTTTTCCGACAAGGTCTATAATTTTAGTTGCAAAAAGGAAATATCAATCTTATTTAGATAAGATAAAGTTAATCTTTTGGAAATCGATACTTAAAAAAAAAATACTTTGTTGAATCATATTTACAAATGATCTGGTACGCAATATTTGAGGCAACTTGTGGATTCGCATATATATCGTAAAATAAGCCTTTTAATTTAAAACGTAACAAATTGCACTATTGATTGGGTAACTTCTGCACTGACTGTGTGAAATATGTAAGACAATAAGATCTGTGATTCTCAGCACTAGAGTATGTCAGACATTTGAGCAGCGTTTGCTACTCTTTATGAAACATGATTGTATTTACTTCATAGATAACTTCAAGTTGAATTTCATTGTCCTGTTTATCGTTTAACTCCCATATCTCTTTTATTCGATTCATCATTTCATCCAAAGGATCTTTGTCACGATTATTCATTGTTTTACGATATTCTCCGATTGTATCAAAATATCCTCTAAAAGTATGAAAAGTGTCATACTTGAAGAAAGTAATGTTTTCGACCCATCTCTTAGTAGGATTTGCCAGTTGATCAAAAATTGGTTCATATCTTTTTTCTACTAAACGATTTCGAGGATGAGCGTAAATTGCTTTAAAGAATACTCGTATTGCTTGACGATAGTCGTGCTCCAATGCTAACATTCTTCCTGTATCCATATCGATAACTTCTTCATGTAAATATGCATATAACGCCACACAACCGTTACGTTACGTTTTAATATTCTCTCACATTCACTTTCAAACAGAGTGATATCCAGCCAATGAGCAGCAGTTGCACAATTAACAAATTCAATGCTATTATCTGGAAGAGGAAACTTTCCACTGTTGACCAATTGAAATTGCACGTTTTTTTATTATCCTTTTCAATTGCAACTGAAATCTGGCCAGCACTTATGCCTATTGCCAGTACGGACTCGAAATAAGGAGAAAACAGACATGTAGCCTGACCACCTCCGCAGCCTACATCCAACATTTTTCCCAATTTGGTAAATGGTGCTGAAGAATGAATTTGCAAATGTACCTCTTTCATAATTTTTTCTGCAACTTCTTGAGAGTAAGACGGACGATATTTGTCATAGTCTTTTGCTAGGTTCCATGTTCATAATATCTCAGCAATTCCATTATTACAAGAACAAATTTTCTATTGCTCAAAAATATACAGCCGTCATTTATTGGTTTTGCATTCCTGGTAAAATTTTGTAAAGTATATAGAACATATATATATCAAGACGTAGCAAAACACCTGAAAACAAACTGACTTTCTGTCAACTGTTTTATTTCAATTTATTTAATATAATTTTAAACCTTGAGAAAGAAGGTAGACATAGAACATGATTGATGTAATGGCCAAATACTTAAAAAGATCATGTCTAGAATATAATAAAAAAAAATGGTAACACGAAATAAGATTAATCAACCTTAACAAAGATCATTATCAAAATTTTATACTCAGAGGTAAACCTACAACTACGCTTCCACTTTGTTCACTGTATTTTTAACCCCTAATTTACATATTAGTCCCTTCGTCAAAATAATTGACTGATTGACTTTGTAATTCCGTTCAGATTGGTAATGAAAACCTAAATAATTAGTACTTTCTTTTTGTGGACAAAATAACAGCTGTCATGAAAACGGCATTGATGTTTTATTGGTGATGAACATTCAAGCCAAATTTGAAAGTTATTTTATGTTGCTATTTGTGTGAATAGCATAGGCATAGAGGATCTTAGAAACGTTGACCGATGACAGAATGTCAAAATATTTTATGAAAACAACGACATTTACATATTTTAGTAAAGGTCAGCAATAAATAATATTATTTTGCATATAATGTTGCTAAAACCGATCCTGGAATATTACCTAATCCAGCGTTTCTTAAACTGTGTTCTGCGGAACACTGATATTCCGCGAGCTTTTTCGAAGTGCTCCGCGGGACAGGTATCGGAATTGCGACTAAATTGGTGGCCATGGCAATCTCGGAATTACTGCGGCGCCTATTGGGTCGTAAATTTGACTCTTAACTTTCGACAAGGCGAACAGTTCTTGCTATCTAAACAGGCGGACAAGCCTCGTGCCAGTCTGGGAAGCATGTTATTTTTGTCAACCGTTCATTATCGTTATTTAGAAACCATTTTGTGGAAACCATCCTTCTAAATAGACTGTTGGCTCAGAACTGCAAGCCTCAAAAGATGGCGTGATAAGCCGGTTGTGCAAGTTGATGCATAAAGTAAATTCAATACACAATTTTCTATCATCAATTTTGCCTTCAAATTTCTTGGCGTGATAAAAAGCAATGGTGTTCCGGAGCCAAACAATTTGGGAAACGCTTATTTAGTCCATTGCACAGCAGCATAACATATTTTTACCTCCGAATAAACGGTTTATATAAGAGTGAATTGTATGTTGCAAGTAATAAAAGTAAGTTACGCCAGAATGAGGCAAATAAAGGAATTGGAATATATTTGGAAATTATTCATTAAATAATTAATTATTCCAATTATAATTGGCTTAATTTTACCCTGCTCAAATTGAGATTATCGTAAATCCATATTTATGAATTGGAGTTGGCTTTGAAAATGCGATAGTAATAACGTCGCTCACACTTTTGTATTATATCTGCAAATACAAAATACCAATTCTATTTATCAATAGTTTTTATAGTAGGCTACTGTATAGTAATTGCTCTTTACGGAAGATTGGTTCACGTCGTGCAATGTCGTTTTCATTTTACGTGCATAAAATTGGTCACGTGTAGGTCGTAAGCATGACAGCATGCACTAATTCAAAACATTAAATAAAATTAGGATTGCAAATTAATTTGATATTTCAATATCGGTATAGATAAAGATGATGAAGATAATTGCGCTTCGTTAGTTTAAGAGGATGAATTAATCAAATATTATATTCAAAACGTAAACTTCAATTCTCGGAGCACGACACCTTCATTGCATGTGGAATGTGCACAGCATCTGCACTTTGCAGCAGGGTACATATGTACACCAAAGTGAGGCGCAACGAAAAGCTTTTCCGACAGTGTCCACAATCTTAGTCGCAAAAAAGAAATTAATAATTTTATTTAGATGAGATTAAACAATCTTTTGAACATTGATACTTAAATAAAAATTACTTTGTTGAATTATATTTACAAATGATCTGTTACGCAACATTTGTGGCAACTTGTGGAATCTCATATATATGTAAAACAAACCTTTCATTTAAAAAGGAAGGAAATTGCACTACTGATCGGAATCTAGTTGTCGGACTGATATTTCCCGATATAGTGAATCTGCCTGTACATGTTTATTATTGTGTATTTTTGATTTGAAAGTAGAAAAGCATTTGTTTTTTTAATCTTGGTCGGTACGGCCGGAAGAATTTTGTCATAAATTTAGCCGAATGTCGGGCACGCGAGCCGAAAAAGGTTGACCACCCCTGAATTCTAGACCAGTAGTTCCCGAACTTTTTTGACCATCGCCCCCCTAAAGTAGTTTATACAACTTCATTGACCCCCCGGCAATACAGAAAATGTAAAAGTCAGAAACGAATATATTACAGACCGAATAAGAAGACAAATCATAGTTTATAGTGTTTTCAATGAGATAGATGAGCTTGTTGTTCTTCAGCGAGTTTTTTATTATATCTAAAATTACCCCGTTTACTGGTGGAAAGGCGATTTCGTTGTTTTGATAGCAATAGTAGCACGGCTGAAAACCCCCTTTTCACCATGTAATAGATAGGAAATGAAAGAATCCAGGGTTTTACCTCCTCAAAAACCGCCGTGTACTCTTGCCTTATAGCATTTCACTTCCTAAATTCACCCCATTTCACATTAAAATAATGAAAACAAAGTTAATTTTCCCCAAACTTATAATATTGATTTTCGTACATCTCATTCATTCCTACAGCCTGATGACCTGCAGCAAAATACTTCGGTAAAATTCATCCCCGATTCCTCATCCTACTACGGCCTCCAGTCCGAAGAAATGACTGTGATAAACTAGGCTAAAATTCTTTATCTGTACTTTTAAAAAACAGATTGTTGAATGGTGTGTATTAGAATGATAGTTTGAAACAAATACCCCATTTTACAGGCAACAACTCGCGAAACCACTCTTAAAATAAGCATCGAAAATTTTAAAATGGTAAAGTATGGGAAGAATTTTCCGCGGTCAAAGGTCGCTGAAAGGTCCATTCAGTGAATCGTCCCGGGCCAGATTATTTTACTCAGGCCGTATTTTGCCGAACACTGGGATACGCAAACTACCGTTGCTTACTGCGAAGACGAGTCCAGAAATTCTCTCGCGTGTGATAATCGCCCACGTGATTCAAGCCTGCGAATGCACACAGAACATAAAACAGGTTTCGCGAAATCGCCCAACTTTTTCGCCCCCCTCTATATCGTTTTTGCCCACTGGGGGGCGATATCGCCCAATTTGGGAATTCCTGTTCTAGACCATTGCACGACATACCATATATTTACCTCCGAATAAACGGTTCAAATAAGAGTGGATTGTATATTCCAATCAATAAAAGTATGAAGCAAATGAAGGAATTGGAATATATTTGGGAACGATTCAAAAAATATTTAATTATTCCAAATATGATTTGCTTAATTTTACCCTGCACAATTTTTCCATTTTTTTTGTTGTAGGTCGTAAGCGTTCAAAACATTGAATTGAATTAAATTAGCAAATTAATTTGAAATTACAAAATAGGTATAGGTAAAGATGATAAATGTAACTGAGCTTCGTTTGTTTAAGATGATTATTTAACTAAGTATTATATTCAAAACTTAAACTTTGATTCTCGGAAGCACGATCACTTCATTGCATGTGTAATATGAAAAGCGTCTGCAGTTAAGGTCATGGGTGTGCCAAACTGAGGCGCAACAAAGGTCTATAATTTTAGTTGCAAAAAGAAAATATTAATCTTATTTAGATAAGATAAAGATAATCTTTTGGAAATCGATACTTAAAAAAAAAATACTTTGTTGAATTATATTTACAAACGATCTGGTACGCAACATTTGAGGCAACTTGTGGATTCGCATATTATATCGTAAATAAACCTTTTAATTAAAACGTATCAATTGCACTATTGATTGAGTATATTCTGCGCTGACTATGTGAATTAAGGAAAGACAATAAAGAATCTGTGATTCTCAGTACTAAGAGTATGTTCAGACATTTGAGCAGCGTTTGCTACTCTTTATGAAACATGATTGTATTTACTTCATAGATAACTTTAAGTTGAATTTCATTGTCCTGTTTATCATTTAATTCCCATATCTCTTTTAGTCGATTCATCATTTCATCCAAAGGATCTTTGTCACCCGTATCGCGATTATTCATTGTATTACGATATTCTCCGATTGTATCAAAATATCCTCTAAAAGTATGAAAAGTGTCATACTTGACGAAAGTAATGTTTTCGACCCATCTCTTAGTAGGATTTGCCAGTTGATCAAAAATTGGTTCATATCTTTTTTCTACTAAACGATTTCGAGGATGAGCGTAAATTGCTTTAAAGAATACTCGTATTGCTTGACGATAGTCGTGCTCCAATGCTAACATTCTTCCTGTATTCATATCGATAACTTCTTTATGTAAATATGCATATAACGCCACACAACCGTTACGTTTTAATACTCTTTCACACTCACTTTCAAACAGAGTGATATCCAGCCAATGAGCAGCAGTTGCACAATTAACAAATTCAATGCTATTATCTGGAAGAGGAAACTTTCCACTGTTGACCAATTGAAATTGCACGTTTTTCTCATTATTCTTTTCAATTGCAACTGAAATCTGGCCAGCACTTATGTCTATTCCCAGTACGGACTCGAAATAAGGAGAAAACAGACATGTAGCCTGACCACCTCCGCAGCCTACATCCAACATTTTTCCCAATTTGGTAAATGGTGCAGAAGAATTAATTTGCAAATGTACCTCTTTCATAATTTTTTCTGCAACTTCTTGAGAGTAAGACGGACGATATTTGTCATAATCTTTTGCTAGGTTCCTTGTTTCATAATACCTCAGCAATTCCATTATTACAAGAACAAATTTTCTATTGCTCAAAAATATACAGCGTATTTATTGTTTTGCATTCCTGGTAAAATTTTTGTAAAGTATAATAACATATATATATCTAAGACGTAGCAAAACACCTGAAAACAAACTGACTTTCTGTCAACTGTTTTATTTCAAATTTAATTTAATATAATTTTAAACCTTGAGAAGAAGGTAGACAATAGAACATTGAGTTGTTGTAATGCCAAATACTAAACAGATCATGTCTAAATTTATAAAATAAAATTGTAACACGGAAATAAAGATAATCAACTTTAACAAGATCATTGATCAAAAATTTACATCAGAGGTAAACCTACAACTACGCTTCCACTTTGTTCACTGTATTTTTACCCCATAATTTACATGTTAGTCCTTCGACAAATAATTGACTGATTGACTTTGTAATCGTTCAGATTGTAATGAAAACCTAAATATTGTACTTTCTTTTTTGTGACAAATATACGTCTGTCATGAAAACGGCATTGATGTTTTATTGGTGATGAACATTCAAGCCAAATTCTGAAAGTTATTTTATGTTGCTAATTGTGTGAATAGCATAGGCATAGAGGATCTTAGAAACGTTGACCGATGACAGAATGTCAGAATATTTTATGAAAACAACGACATTTACATATTTTAGTAAAGGACAGCAATAAATAATATTATTGTGCATATAATGTTGCTAAAACCGATCCTGGAATATTACCTAGTCCAGCGTTTCTTAAACTGTGTTCTGCGGAACACTGATATTCCGCGAGGTTTTTCGAAGTGCTCCGTGGGACAGGGATCGGAATTGCGACTAAATTGGTGGCCATGGCGGTATCGGAATTACTGCGGCGCCTATTGGGTCGTAAATTTGTCTCCCAACTTTCGACAAGGCGAACAGTTCTTGCTATCTAAAAGGCGGACAAGCCTCGTGCCAGTCTGGGAAGCATGGTATTTTTGTCAACCGTTCATTATCGTTATTTAAAAACCATTTTGTGGAAACCATCCTTCTCAATAGACTGTTGGCTCAGAACTGCAAGCCTCAAAAGATGGCGTGATAAGCAGGTTGTGCAAGTTGATGCATAAAGTAAATTCATTACACAATTTTCTATCATCAATTTTGCCTCCAAATTTTTTGGCGAGATAAAAAGCAATGATGTTCCGGAGCCAAACAATCTGGGAAACGCTTATCTAGTCCATTGCACAGCAGCATAACATATTTTTACCTCCGAATAAACGGTTTCTATAAGAGTGAATTGTATGTTGCAAGTAATAAAAGTAAGTTACGCCAGAATGAGGCAAATAAAGGAATTAGAAAATATTTGGAAACTATCCATTAAATAATTAATTATTCCAATTATAATTTGCTCAATTTTACCCTGCTCAAATTGAGATTATCGTAAGTCCATATTTATGAATTGGAGTTGGCTTTGAAAATGCAATGTTAATAACATCGCTCACATTTTTGTATTATATCTGCAAATACAAAATAACAATCCTATTTATCAATAGTTTTTATAGTAGGCTACTGTATAGTAATTGCTCTTAACGGAAGAATGGTGTACGTTCAAAGCTGGCTTGAAACAAAGGTTCATTTTACGTGCATAAAATTGGTCACGTGTAGGTCGTAAGCATGACAGCTTCCACTAATTCAAAACATTAAATAAAATTAAGATTGCAAATTAATTTCATATTTCAATATCGGTATAGATAAAGATGATGAAGGTAATTGCGCTTCGTTAGTTTAATAAGATGAATTAATCAAATATTATATTCAAAACGTAAACTTTGTTTTTTGGAAGCACGACACCTTCATTGCATGTGGAATGTGCAAAGCGTCTGTACTCTGCAGCAAGGTACATATGTACACCAAAGTGAGGCGCAACGAAAAGCTTTTCCGACAATGTCCACAAAAGAAATTAATAATCTTATTTAGATGAGATTAAACAATCTTTTGAACATTGATACTTGAAATAAAAATTACTTTGTTGAATTATATTTACAAATGATCTGTTACGCAACATTTGTGGCAACTTGTGGATCCTCATATATATTATAAAACAAACCTTTCATTTTAAAAAGTATGAAATTGCACTACTGATCGAGTAAAGTCTGCGTCAACTATAAAAATAGATGAGACAATAACAATATTGATTCTCAGTATTAGAGTATGTCAGACATTTGAGCAGAGTTGGCTACTCTTTATGAAACATGATTGTATTTACTTCATAAATAACTTTAAGTTGAATTTCATTATCCTGTTTATCATTTAACTCCCATATCTCTTCTAGTCGATTCATCATTTCATCCAAAGGATCTTTGTCACCTGTAACGCGATCGTATCAAAAAATCCTCTAAAAGTATTAAAAGTGTCATACTTGACGAAAGTAATGTTTTCGACCCCATCTCTTAGTAGGATTTGCCAGTTGATCAAAAATTGGTTTATATCTTTTTCCTACTAAACGATTTCGAGGATGAGCGTAAATTGCTTTAAAGAATACTCGTATTGCTTGACGATAGTCGTGCTCCAATGCTAATATTCTTCCTGTATCCATATCGATAACTTCTTTATGTAAATATGCATATAACGCCACACAACCGTTACGTTTTAATACTCTCTCACACTCACTTTCAAACAGAGTGATATCCAACCAATGAGCAGCAGTTGCACAATTAACAAATTCAATGCTATTATCTGGAAGAGGAAACTTTCCAATGTTGACCAATTGAAATTGCACTTTTTCATATTATTCTTTTCAATTGCAACTGAAATCTGGCCAGCTCTTGCACACATGTCTATTCCCAGTACGGACTCGAAATAGGGAGAAAACAGACATGTAGCCTGACCACCTCCGCAGCCTACATCCAACATTTTTCCCAATTTGGTAAATGGTGCAGAACAATGAATTTGCAAATGTACTTCTTTCATGATTTTTTTCTGCAACTTCCTGAGACTTAGAATTGGCACTCTAAACATGCATTTATTTTAGTCAGTGTGCAGCAAAATTTTATAGCGAGCCATCTGGAACTCGCAGCCTTGAACATGGCAATACTTTTGTCATGGTCCGTTTTAATGGGGTAGCACACATTTGCATTTCCAACTAGGCAGTCCCAAATGTCATAGCAAATTGATTATGTCTGAGATATTCTTCGCTTATATGTTATCTTTTCAATATATTTTTAACCAACTTTTTATATACTGCTATCTAGTATTTTATTGATGTGACACCGGATTAGGATAGAAGTTAGTCAACGCGGTTTAAAGATTGTTGATTTTCATATAACCACAAATATTTTAAAAATCTGGTCTTATCTGTTCCTTTGTTGAATTTCATTTAAAATTGATAATTTAAATATTTTTTGTCGAGTTTGAACTGTAAATGTATTCCATATTAATATTATATATAATAGGAATCCAGTGAGTTGGGACGGAACAGAAAAATAGGTTTCATGAACAAGCCTGGGAAATCGCCGGTATCTCGAATAACACCACAAACCTCAAGATGCCATTGCTAGCACCATTTACTTTCATACACCCCATATAATATTTTCCATGATATCATTGTCCAATGGTTGGAAGTTTTCGAAAAAGTTTCTCATGAAATTGAATTTTAATTAGCGTACTTGGGAATACAATATGCACAGTTATTAGTAGATCATCAATATGTCAAATATATAGTTACTTATAAATAAGGAGGCATATAGTGGGCCGATACATTATATTTTAATTGTATTTTTATTTGTACAAAAATAATTGCTATAGCATAATTAGTTGTGGTTATGGTATGTCCATTCAAATTGCAGGTAATTCGTAGAAATATTCACTCATCAAAATATCCTCAAATAAACCGGAAAAGGTACGAAGATGTATAATTAACAATTGTTTCGGCGTGAGCTAATCAAAGCAAATATTCCGGTTCATGTGAGTCATTCGACGCACGAAAATAAAGACATCTCGTGAATGCAGCTATACCTTCATCTCACAATACGTTTGATAATATATTATATCAATTGGACGAAGGTAATATTGTCTAGCTTGCAGCCCACTCACATTTATATTAACTCAACGAATGTATTCACAATCAAGTGGAGCAAAATATGACATATATATAAATCAAGTTACAATAAAAAATACTATTCTGATTCTTAATTGCAAATTGATCATGCCGCAAACTTCTGAAATTAATCACTTTCTGACAAAATATAGGACATGCTGTTGGATAAGTAAATTTGACACGCATAATTTTTTTTTATTTTTTTTTTATTGGAGATATGTTACTAGCAGATAAACTGGAAATTATAGGCTTTTGAGTACAGTATCAATACTGAGATATGTTTTTTGATCTTGTCCCAACGTAGGTAGCCTGACATAAACGCTCGCGTCTGCATACGCAGAAAACTTCGACGTTTTTTTCGTATATTGCGTGTTGTTAAAGCATCATTTCGGAAAGACGAAGAGTAACATTACCGAGGTTTTTAGATTGGTTTGTATAGAAAATCATTATCGTGTTATGCAATTGTTTGCTATTATTTTTATAGCAATCTGTCAGCAGTTTATAATATACCCGGCCAAAGATTGTGCTAGCTAACTGATTTCTTTTATGAAAACACTTTGCGGAAACGGATGAACCGACGGTATATCGACGACAATCGAGTAACTCAGTTTAGAACTAATATTCAGGATGGAAGCAGATGCACGATACTTTGTGTTGTTTCTAGTATATATAAATTTATATTCAACAAAAGGTATGTATATACATTTTGTGATGTAAATAAATTGCGTCAATTCCATATTCAAGAGCTAAAAGTATAGAAAATAGAAAGCCAGAATAAGGTAGATTTTACTATGTTTTGTAAATATCTACTATCTATTGATAATTCAGGATTTTCTCGAGGTTAATATTCTCTTTCTTGTTTATTCAGGTGACAAAGCGCAGCTAGTCATTGATGCAATCAACCTTGACTCGGCCACCATTCTCTCGTTGCTTCCTGACTTTTCCGATGATTTTGTCATTGATCTAAATATAAATCCCAACGACGAACAGGAGATGATATATGGAATAAACATTCTCGATGGCGAAGGAATCATTGACAAGGTTGTGTGGCAAAATATTTATTATTAGAATAGATAAACTTGAAATACGAATATTTCCCGGTGTAAGGATAGTTCAATTATTACTTTCTTATTATTTAAATTATACAGAATAGTAGAAAAAAGAGTGTGTTACATGGGCAGAGATAAAAGAATGTATTTATTTATCATGTAATCACACAAACTTGAAAAGCACTTCAGTTTTAAATTCAAAAGTACTGTTTTAGTAAACAAAATATAATATTGATAATCTTTTTTTAGTCATGGATAATAGATCGACATGAATTAATATCATGCACTTGCAAATTGTGAGTAATATATATTATTAAGATCATTTTTGTAGATTTTGTATTAAGATCGGCTTAAAACTGCAGTTCCTAATTTGCATTGATTTGAATCTGGCAACTTGAAATGCCCATTCGAACTCACACAAGTCTAATTGATTAATTTGGGAGAGCGTTACGCAATCGAATTAAATAATAATCATAATTTTCGGTATCAACCATATTTAATGAATGCGTCAACAAAAAGTTTTTAATCCTAATAGATGATTTCTAAATTATTTATATTACAATTTATATCTAATACGGTATTAATTTAATGATCTATGAAGCTATCACATATTCACGCAGCCTTTTTTTCACTTTAGTTATCCAAAAGATGCTGAAATAGCTTTCATGATAGACGGTCCGCCGCATTTGGATGTATTATGGTTTTCAAATCATGACAGAGATGACGACATTGTCACATCAAGAGTAGGGTATTTATTATTACGCATGAATGGATGTTTCTCATTAGAGAATTAACGTTCGGTTTTATGCTGAAATGGGCCACGCACTGAGTGTCTTGGGGAAAACCTGTAGTTATTCTGTATTTTCTAAACAAAAATGCCCTTTGACCTCACATTATTCTTTTTATTCAAACTTTTTTCCCTGTTCAATCCGTAATTACTTCATGAACTGAGCTTTTTGTCAATAATTTTGCGAGAAATCAAAAAAGAATGATTCATAAAACTTTATGTTTTATTGGCTGATGAAATCATTTAATAGGGCCAATAAAAATGTTCCGTGGGTACATCATTCGTGTTGTCAACATCGCCAATATGAATACATAAACACAATTAAAGTCAGTAAATTTCTATTTTAGCGAAAATTAAAAAATCATCAATGAAGCTTAGTTATAGATATTACATTGCATATAGTATAACCATTATATTATACGTGGTGTACGCAGAGTTTCATATCCCTGGCGAGAAGTTACATGTGACACTCTAAAAAGTAATATTATAGCGAAAATATATTTAGTTGATCGTCTCCACATCTTTGTTTTATTTTCAATTTACTTTTTGTCAGGTTTACGGATTTGTCCCGCAGGATGAATTCATGGCCAATTCTGTGGTGCTACACACATCTGAAAGCGAAACAACATTTGGGGAATGTGATATGAAGTATTTTGTCGCACAATTCCATGGTTTCCCCCATACAATGGTCAACATCAATTTCTATGCGTACAACCGCCTTGTAAGTAAATAATTCAGAAAACAGTATAATTATTCCATCAAATGTTTTTATTTTGTAATATGTATATTTGGTATGTAGGAGTAATTCCCTTTAGATATCTTTTGGAAATATATTGCACTTCTAAATGACTTCAGTCACTACTTATATTTTATTTTGCAATTGGTCTATTCCGACAACTAGGTATGCCAATGCTGCTGCCATTAAAGCACCAATCGTACCATCCGCTATTATTCAGTTCCAGTAGTCAAAAGTGTATAATTTTGCTGCCATACCTCTATTACCTATTTGTAATGAAAACTTTTTGTGATAGAGCTCAAATGTTATTCTGCCTGACCGATGGGAAAACGAAGCTTTTTATGATGGTTTTTTTGATGGAATATACTTGGTTGAAAGTCTTGCTTCTGGCGCTCCAAAAAATGTCATGTTTGGCTATTCTGCGGCTTCTGAGTAAGTTCACTTTTCTGTAGATGTTTTGCTTTTTCAAAGAACTGTTCGCAAACATTTTTAAAATTGATTTTTTATTTTATTTTATTTTTTTTTATAATAACCAAGTCCTTGTTATATTTTATTTTTTATTTTTCTAACTGTTGTTTTTTAGAATAAATGGGAATCTATTTTCTGACACCGACATTCAAAATTACATGAACGCACTATTAGAAAAGATGTGTCCCATAATTTCCCAAGGTATGCTGTTTCGGGTATTTATTGTTGTTCATCTAAACAAGTATCCTGTAAGAAATATTTTTCATTTTTAAATACTCCCAATAAATCAAAAGTCTATTAAAATTGATATTATTATATAGATTAGTTATGATGCGATTTATTAATCTTTCACCCGGCAAAGAATATATAAGCTTTACACGAGACTTTATTAACCAACTTAACAATGCTAATAACCATTATCAATCCCGGAACATATTTAAGAAGTCGCAGTAATTCATTGATCATTTTGATTTTTTTCTTTTTTATGTTAATATATTTGTATTTTATTTGTGAGATCTCGGATGCTGTGAAAATGGCAAGATGACTGCATATTTTTGTCCAGATAAAAGGATTTGCAAATGTAATCCCGGATGGACTGGTGCTTGCTGTGATACAGGTAAGTGGCCTATTTTATTGTTTGCATGAATCATAGTCATGAAGTTGCGATTTATTTAACTTCGATCAAGATTAAAAGGTCAGGCTTATCAAAATTATACTTTAGAATGTATAAATGGCGAAGAAATTTACTTGCCACCGTATGGAACATCTACTTGTAAGTGTGATAATGGCTGGGGAGGACAATCTTGCACTGAAGGTATTTCTTCTATTATTTGACGTTGTAATCATTTTTGGACACGAAATGAACCTATAGAGATCGATTTGTTATCATGGGGTTGTCGTGGTTAGTATTATTCTTTTTCTTGTTGTTATGAAAAATCTCTTTTTTTTTTTAATTACTTTAGATATTACTTTGAAATTTCCAGTGGTTGAAGATTTTGTTGTCGCTAGAGGGCGACTTTTGTAGGCGCTGTGAAAATTGTTTGTTCTTTTGTCCAAGTTTGCGATCGTTATAATCTGTTGGTCTACTCTAGTTAAAGTTGTAAAGATTACCGTACCGATAGTGTGGAATATTTTATACCAGTACTTCTTTTTGTTTGACACCGTGCCATATATTTTATTAGGTTGTAATATTGAAAATTAAGCAGTGGACTGCCGTCTCATTTACATGTTCAAACAAAAGGTGCAGGAATAATTGTTCAAAAACTTCATTATATTTTTCTAGCAAACCATCTTTCAATTTTTTTCAATGAGTTCAATTCAAAATCTCCAGTGTGTGGATCGTTTATAACTCATCATAAATCGTATTCATATGACTTTAGCAACCAAAACCTTATAAGTTTTTATCTACCTGGTGGTTATCAAATGATAGAAATGCACGACGTGAGTATATTCAAATTGTCGATTGATTCTAAAGCCATTGTATTTTTTTGTTTCATAAGCGAATATGACGTGACACCGAAAATTGCAAATAGCGTTTTTTTTTTTATACCAGACGAATAAATATTTTGCATTTGTTTTTGTGATTGTAAACTTTGATAGTTTTTGTCCAAGTATTATTACGCAAACATAACGGACAAGAATTTAACATATTGTTCAAGTCAAGAATACCATATAATTTAGGTTGTATTATCATATCAAAAACACTTTCGGTATTTCTAATTCCACAAATATTTAATGCTCCATATTTCTGGCTTTGTTGATAGCGAATGGCGACGATGCAGAGAAAAAAAATTATTAGCTGTTTCAGCAATCGTTCTATGTTTATTTTATTAGTATTTTTTTAATAAATTTATTAACAATTTATTTGATATATTCAGCCAAGTATCTTCGTAGAACTAGGCAGCTTTGAAGAACACAATGAAAATAATCATCATCATATTTTGGACGATTGCGTTACTTGTGGACTTAGAGAGAATTCCGGAAAGTATGCAGATCTCATTGATTTACGAACATAAAACAATTGAATAACAATACTAAATTAACGTTATGACATGGCATATACATTGAGTGAAAATTGTCTAAATTTTTAATGTCCGCAAAGATGACGAAAAATAATTGAGTACCAAAAATTCGAATAAACATAAACTTTTAACATGATAAAAAAATTATCTTTTAGTTTGCTAGGGGTAGATTGGAAAGCGGGATTTGATAATGATTTTACTGTAGTAGGATGGATTGCAAATGATGAAATGGACTGGGATATATTTGGTCTTGATGTGAGTATCATTTTTGAAATAAAGAATCTAAAACATTACTGCATAATTTGTTTTTAATAAATATATAGCATTTTATATCACTGTAATATTATAGTACAAAAAACTTATAAAAATGTATAATCCTTTTTCATACATGATAAATTTGCATTTGCGGCAACTACTTCATAATTAAGATTTGACGTGGTAAATTTGATGTAAAAATGAATCTGATTTATCGTTAGAGAATGTTGTGCAGCAGCCTTATTCCCATTCGAATTTTTTCAGGCGTATATTGGGATACCAGACTTCTATGACAGCGATTCGACATTAACCGGGGATAAAACAGTTGATGATTGCAGAATGATGTACAAGTTATTACAGAGGTTTTCCTCATTTGCACCTGGAACGACTGTAGAAATATATTTCACCGCAGGAGATGTGCGGGTTAGTTGAATATAAAGTATTTTTCATAGTCACGAGAAATAGCCAGTCCGTTTTCTTTTCTATACAGTCTATACAAATAGGCAATATTTTACGACATGCAGGCCTTACCAAGTTGTCAATCGGGTGTGTTATAAAACTCGTGTAATTTTTTTTCAAGCAAGATGTGTACGTACCTATGGATCGTTCTGTAGCTGTGGTAAACCGAATGATTTCAGATTTGCAGTTTTCAAAGTTTGATCAAGTTAATAAAAGTCACCAATTTTTTGCTGAACTTTTAACTAAATGAGAACACTTTTTATTCCGTATTGGTCGAACGCCCCATTATTGCTTGCCGCCAAGCTTATCAGAAAATTTTTTCTCGGTCTTAACGGTAGTGGAACTAATGTGCGATCGTCAAATATTTATGAATTGAACATTTGTTTGACGTGTTGTTTTTTGCTGGTCTATGAATACCTGTTTGTATTTGAATTCATTTATTGAAAATAATACTTTATCATTATTTTTGTTTCAAATCAATATACCCGGGAAATAAGGTATTCGAATTTACATATGAACCTTAAAACAAACTCTTGAATTTTCAATAAAACTTCTGAAAAGAGTCACATTCAATATAATCAAACGAATTCATCCATGTAATATTTAGTACTCGAGAATGCCTACGGATCAAACCGCTCGGACCGAGATGCTTGACGATGTCTATGTTTTTCCAGCGAATTTTTTACAGAGTATTTTATCAATGGATCTCCTGCTAACGTCATGATAGGATACTTTCTTGCAGTAAGGTACGTATTCCAATTGCATATCAATGAATGGATATTCTAATAACTACCTTTTGATAACTCATCATAAATTGTCGATTTATTACAAAAATTTAATTTTTAATGAATGTTAAATAAAATGAGTTCAAAAGGCACAACCACTTCAAAGTAAAATTCCGACTTGAAAAAAAAAATACATCGAGTGATTAGACAGAATTAGATATATACAGTATATATAAACCAGAATAACAACATAATAGTAATAATAATAATGAAAAAACATGTACACTTCGGGTCTAAAAATAGCGGGTATTTTTTTAAATAATCAATTTTTCAACTTTGAGCAATCGTAATTTTCAAATCCCTAAAAGCTCAGCAATATTTGTGCTAAGGCACATCTCAAATTTTTCAATAATTTTCAGCTTTGACGATCAAAACTTTGATCCGTATGAGATACCAGATGAAGAGTTGATGAACGTTATCGATTGTTTGATGGAATCAGTCTGTTCAGTCGTGTCACGAAGTATGCATAATAAATTCATAAACATAATACAAACAAAATTTCACTGAGTAGGTGATAGTGTTATTAGAACTATAACTGGCATATGCAATTTCTAATTCACTGAAATTTATCTTATATCGACGAACATACCGGGTATTTATTTATCAACTTGCCCGCGATTTAGAAATGGACATTATGACAAAGTATAGGAACGTTGGAGTTCTCTTAATACCCGAAATAACCCTTCAGAAGGAAATCGACGTGATTGAATTGCATATGGTACTATTGATTTTGTACAAGAAATCAAATGATAATTGTATCAATTGTCAAGTTTCCAGATATGTTTGGAATTTAAGCATTCTAGAAAGGACATATATCACTCATCCGTTAGATGTAGGTTTTTAGCCTACAAATTCAAATCAGTCACGAAAATTCATATTCTATATTTGGTTATATAATTCGTATTACAAGATATGCATAGGTTAGATTTCAAAAATTTAAACCATTAAATAGGATGCATTCATGGCACACTGACGGGAACCAGTGGAACCGCACTGGAATGCGTATGCTCGCCTGGATGGATCGGCGTCCATTGTGATTTACGTAAGTGATGAAGATTATGTTCTACATAATTTCAAGTGATGCGATGCGCTAGTTTGTGTTCAAATAAAGCAACGCTGTTTTTAGACCAATCTAGTATTGAGTTCATTGCTAAACCAGCTAATTTGCTGTTTATTTCACCTATATTATTTTCGCAGAAATCATCTAATTATAGGACAGTTTTTCAGTAATTTTCGAAATGTTGTTTGCACTCTTTTAATCCAGTTATTATGGCTGGCTTAATATTTTTATTGATAATTAACAACTAAAACTGGGTTTATTAATAACGCTATGCTAAAACGCAATAGTGAACTGAACGTGGTAAGTTATGCTTAAATATGTCATGCGATAAACCTCGGCTATGTTATTGCCCTCTGGTTTCTTTGTAACCCGACATCAAGCAATCTCAAGCCATATCATAATATTGTGTGAATCTTTTTTCAAACTATGTTTCAGCTTGCTAACTTCTCATTTTCGATGCGTCAGAAAAAGGAATCCTGAGGAGGAATTGAATATGATTAATTATATCTGATTACATGGTATCTTAGACAAATAAATATACATCACTTCAAAAATGTCATTTATTCGAGTTGATAGAAAAATATCGTTTAAATTAAAGTTCGAATACGCCATAAATTGAATGTTCCTATGTTGAATAATGGGAGGAAGAAATATAGGAAAATTCGAAATTTGTCTCTATGGAATTTCATGGGCTTGCAGATAAATTTTACTTGCAAACTAATGGATGTTATGAAAGCGAACAAATGCTTATTCATCTTTGAAGAGAAAGGAAACGATAAATAAATCATAACTGCCTGTCGGTCAGACATCGAGTAATTTGAACTTTAGTTATTATGACGTTATCTGTGGTACGAGGTACGAGGCAGGTAACCTTTGTAAACAGACAAAAATAGGAGTTGGGCTGTTTCGTAGCCCCAGGATTCATCAACATTTATCAGATCGAACGCGCATTTTAAAAATGGACCTTATAGTCAGGACTTGGCAAATATTGAAGTATGGTGTCAATTTTGAGATCAAATGAAAAGATGTACAACTGTACTTATCAGGTTACCAAGTCAGACAGTTACTAACATTAGTAATTTAAAACAACGGAAATAACTCAATTATATAATTTTGTACAAAGCAGAATGCATAATATGCTCTGGGTTCGTAACGTTTTGAAATATTGTACACGTAAAATACTTGCAAGCGTGACTGTCTGGTTATAGAAATTTTATTTTAGTATTATTTACTTAAGTCTAATTGACAAATATAAAAAAGAGAACATTGATATTCACTACTCTTGTGTGTGGATAAGCGAAAAAATCTAATGATCTGATGCGTGTAATATACTACTGTATATATTTAAGAAGTAATTATATCAAACAACTATACCACACAATTGCGAAACTATCTTTTGTATAGTGCTGTTGTACTTTTTGATTACAATATATTTTTAGTTAAACTCATATGAACGATCAAATGTGTACTTGCTTTGAACGAAATGTCAAATTAAAGGAATGTGATTACATTTTGAAGAGTACGAGTAAACCAAATTACCATACCTCATGCTGCTATTTGCATATAAATATATGTATACTGTACTATTACAGTACGTAAGTAATGATACTAGCCTCGCTGTAAGCCTAATATTAGCCTAATAATCCCCCGAACTTGTATTATTATATTGCCCTTGATCAATATATCAAGCATTGATTTTATTAATGCATAATCAAACTGAAGAAGATGCTTGTTTCAAACTCACTCGAAAACAATTGATGGGACGCTACAGATGTTAAAACTATTTGAATATTTTCACGATTTTCGTATTGATGAGAACGTTGAGTGATATGTTTAGTTTGATTATAAATGATATTAAATTTCAATTTAAAAAATCGAATGATGAAAAAATTGTATTTAATTTCGTACAACTTTCAACTTATTTGATTAAATTATACTTCATTTGTTGTGAATTCTTTGCTCACGTGTACTGTATAATAACTTGTAACAAATATGCGTTATGAATACAGATAATAGCTCTAATGTCGAGACTAAACGGAAACGCATGGATAGTATGTGCCGTTTTGTTATATCTTATGTTTCCTACAACAACAAAAGCTGGTGAGTCGAGCATTCATTCTAATCTTTATTTCTCTTTACTGTGCGAGCACGATTTTTGTCATGCTCAATCTTCAGAGTGCCTAAAATGCCTATAGTTTTGATTGGAATCATGTTGTTAAATATCCAACAATAAGCTAACCTACGTTCCTAAAACAAGAAAGTTTGAATGTTTCATGTAGCACATTTTCACATTTTTTAATAAATATATACAATAAACCTCATTATATTAGTCTAGAGCAGCGGTTACCAAACTGTGGGTCGCGACCCACTGGTGGGTCGCAAAAAGAATTTTAGAGGGTCGTGAAAAGATGTAGAAAGCTTTGATTAATTATACTGGGTATTAGGATCGGTATACGTAAATCGACTCGAATACGTAAATCTTCAAAAAATATAAATTGAATATAAATTCTAATCTGTGAAAGTTTCCTTTTTACGATCTTTTCAAAGGAACAAAAATTTGCTATACAAAGAATGACCATGTGGCTTTTTTACGCATAGTAGTTTTGTACACGGTACAGCACTTTTTACCGTGTTTCCCCGCAATTTAGACAGGATTTAGATTTATTTTTGAAGAATAACACTATGTTTTATTTTGGAAGAGGTCTTTCGTGTTCATTTATCAAAAATAAAATTACATTGTAGAAAATCACGAGATTTTTTAATAAACATTATATAAAAACCACATTTTAAATTTATTTAGGGATATGGTTTAATTATAATCATTTTTAAAATTCAAATTAGGTCTTATTTTCAGGCCAGGTCTTATTTTCGAGGAAACACGGTAGTTTTGCGATGATTAGCCATTGTTGTGTTCTGTGTTATGTCATCAAAAGTTAAATGGGTCGCCATAAGCTGTGGTAATAAAAAGTGGGTCCCAACTCTTAAAAGTTTGGGAACCACTGGTCTAGAGACTCTAGAGTATTTCAAATTTCCTATCATCTTTCATTTGTTACCATTATTCGGCATCGTCGGCATTATTCGGAACTGCAATCTGTAGGCAAGCTCTATAGATAATAACTGCAAAAAATATTAGTTTTTTTGTAATATTACACTTTGAAAGTACCATTTGACTGTTCACAAAAGTGACTACCAGATTGAAAATAATACAGTTAATTTGCATTATCAGGCTGGTGGTGTTCAATCTTCGAAAACAAATGTGATGAAGTTCCTAAAATATGTGAAAGTTGCGGATTTATAAATATGATAGGTATATTTGCACTTTTTATGTATTGAAGTTATTTCTATTTCTATTTCTGGTTAAATGTTATAACACAACAACCCGTTATGGTACGAAAATTGTCTGATACCTCACTGCATTAAAAAAAAACATACTAATCTGACCTTAATCGGCTAGATTGCTGTATGTCATTGCAATAAGGAATAAATACATCTTAGTATTAATTCTTGTAAATAAAATTATTCATTTTTTGCTCACCTACAATTACTAATATATTCTATAATTCATTTAAATGAGTCTTAAAATACTTCATAAAAATATCCGACGTTTTTATTCATCACAGCTTTATATTTATATGACTTCTGCGATTTAAAATTATAAACTATTCAAGATATTTTTACCACATATATAATCATATACACAACAAGTCATAGAGGTTTGGTATCTTTTCGCTTAAATAGGTGCTCCGCATTGACCCGTTACAAAAGTAATACGGAAAAATATTTTTTTAAAGACTGCTCAGACTTTGACTGCACTGACAAAAAAGAAAGTGGGTTTTGTAACGGCTATTTCGGACGATATTATTATGATGAGAAAGACAAACAGTGCAAAGACTTTATATATGGAGGATGTCTAGGAACTAAGAATCGTTTCAAAACGAAAAAAGATTGTGAGAAATGTTGCGTGATCAAAGACGATTGAGTAAGTTCAGATTCATGTTATTCCACCACATGATTCTCCCACCAGGTTCGGTCTTACTCTACATTCACAGCAGTTTTTTTTAAAACTACTAGTAATTGCCATCTAAGAAAAAACAAATGCTTTTTGAGGCTAATATTTGTTACAAATTTTGGATTACCTGCATTCTTAACATTATCAAATTGGCATGAATGATTATAACGTTGATTTTCTTTGCTCTAGTTATCACAATATATTAGTAAATATCTCGACAGGCTCACAAAATGGCTATAAGTAGGCCTAATTGATTTGGAAATGTATCGGATTTAAGTAGATTTTGACGTATGTTTTTTTGCCAACGAGGCGTCCAACTGCAAATACAATTTAGATGTCGCGATGCACATACTATATACACATGCATCTGTACATGTAGTAAAAGTAAAACTATCTATCTGGGAGAAGGTGAAATTATTATTTTTCAATTACAGGTGTGTTGAAAAGTATGGAAATCTTCTTGACTAACCCTGACTGATGAACATTTGATGTTCATGATGAACAACAACTGATGCACAAGCCGATACAAAATATTTCATGATTCTATGGTGTTTTTTTTTATTTTATTTTTGTTCTTACTATAAAGTTGCATGTTAAATAAAAAAGACAATCAATGGCATTTTCATGCGTTATAATATGAATTGTAGTGATTCGCTGAGTAAGAGAAAGAGGGTATTGTAGTTTAAGCAATAACTGTGTTATCAGCTAAATTTACGCTAATAGCACGTCGTGAAAACATTTTTAAACAGGTTATTTACTATGATCTCTAGTCATAGCTGATACAACAATTAGGCGCAAAATTAGCGACATGACTTCATTTGAGAGTTCAACTGAACACTCGTTATAAAACATGCCCGGAAGAATAAATTTTCTCTCATGGTACAAAAATACATAAACACCGCCGAGATAACGACTCTTCGCGACGCTGCTTCAAGACAGGTCATTTTTTATATATTTATAATATTTAAATGTACATATAAAAAAGATTATTAAATGTGTATAAATATTCTATATTTGTAATCTGTTACGGACATTCTTCTTTGCATTCTTCTTCAGTCTCAAAGTTATTGTTATTTCCCTCGCAACCTCCGTAAGTAAATTGTTCACATTCACAAGTTTCTTTGTTGAAGTACCATCTTTCGAACGCTGCATCGCATGGTCCCGGATCAGCTGACTTATAGCATTTTGCTGAAATTCCATAAATACCATATTTAATTGCATTTGGTAATTACATTACGGGGACTACTATGGCACGAATATAGTAAATCAAAATGAAAATTTTATGCTTTACTTTTATTTAATATTATCGAGGATTTTACAGAATATTTAGTAAAATAATGAAAGCGATTGTCGTAAAATGATGGCGGAAACTGAAGGAACTTCAACTACATGAAAGTTTGAACATAACACATATCGATGGCATATATTTTATTTGGAAATTAAATTTAAAACATCTATCAAAATCAGTATAGCATAATATGATACAAAATTAATATATTTTAGAACTTACCTTGACATAGATACGGGCAAATCCAAGGTTCCAAAAATAGGAAACAAAGATATTGTGTGCGACAGACTGCAATATTGAAAAGTAAAATAGGATCATACAGCTTAAAATGGTTAGTATATTTTTACTTATTTTTTCTTTAATATGTGAGCTGCTCTGCTTTCATTTATATTAAAAAAAAAAATTGGAAATCTACAAGCAAATAACTTTTTTATTGGTAGATCGTGTAGAATGCAGGCAGTAATAAATCCGATATACCCAATATTAAAAAAATCTGCACAAAAACGTGTTCAATTTTTAATATTCGTTCACGACTTTCTTACTAATAATTAACTGATTATGCGTGGGTCATACACGGATCATATTAGTAAAAAAAATATTACGAATTATTTCATTTTAATAAGCAGCGATACAATAATATGATCATTTCGTTTGACTTAAGTACTTCGAACAGTCAAGAAATGCAGAACAATACATGTCAAGAATTAGTACATTGGTTTTGAAGTTTCAAAGATGATAAATATCACTTACTTTTACATTGAAAATCTTTAATGTTAAACGTCGCTCCCGTAGACTGACTTCCAATCATTAACAGAACTATGAAGCTTGTGAATTTCTTCACTTCCATACTTTGGACGTTTTTTAATTTTCTCTAAAAACTAGTATTCTCTTTCTATTTTATTTAAAATATATTTTAAGAACACGTTTACAACAAGGCTTCCCGTTCCTAATATTACAATATTGATGACTCAAAGAAATTCCGGTAATATGGAATCAGAATCGTCCATTGTCACTGCTCTGCAAATAACTGACGCTCCCATGCTGTTGCTTGTCAAGCTAACTTTTCTGTTAGGTGCCACTTTGCGCCATATATTTGTTCCTCCGGGCAAAATACCTAGGTTGCTAAAATCAGACTTTCGTCACCTGGTACCATCGCTCACGAAAGCAAGTTAATGAGAAACAGTTGGCTATACTTTATCTCATCTAAATGAACTTATTTGAACCCACATGTATGTATTTATATATATTGATGGCCCATTCAGCTAAAAAATGCTTTAGAAATAAATTGGCCAAAAGGTCTATATCAAAGTCTAAAGAGCTTATGGATTGTTTTGCAAAATTATTATTGTTGACGTTATTCGTGCTAGGATTGTTGTTGTTGTTGTAAAAAGTTGCATTTCAGCAAATAATGAAACAATCAGTTTCAATTTTCCAGTACTTCAAGATGAAAAAAGCCGTTCGAAGGCTATTTATTTTATTTTTCATGTCAAAATTGTGAATGTAGCCCAATATTCAACTAGAATTATTTTTAAATCTTGTGTATATTGCATCACCACGTGGTCGTCTATTTTATCTGCAAACTCAGTCTTTATCTATGGCTTTACAGGCATTGATGTAGCTTCAGAGGTTTAACGGGGAATAGCTGATTTTTTGACTCATATTAGTCAATTGACTTTCGTGTCCATAAATAATGAGCATTTCATTCCAGTCAGAATATAGTGACCATTGATTGCCTTGTTGTTTTTGGTCGCCCAGGGTGGTTAGCATATACGGATATGAAAGGAATGTATTAGACGCAAAGTTTGTTTTGCAAAATTGTTGTTTTTGTCATTCTTCTTAGGGTTGTTGTTGTAAAAATTGCATTTCCACAAAAATTGAAAATTTAATTTCAAATAAAAGAAGTCAGAAGTGACACTTGGTAATTCAATTTTATCTGACCACTTCTAAAAATCCTTTTGTCTGGGAAACCGGATAACAATAAAACGAGAATATCGGCCGGAGATCGAAGACTTATCGATCGAAACTGCGGTTTTGATTCATGACTCTATATTGACACCGCGTGTCCCATCACTAATTATTTATTAACTCGCTAATTATACTACATAATTCATCCAAAATCAATAGGCGTCTGGTCGGAGATATGATAAATGCACATGCAATATTTGGAGCAGATTGAATCTCGCCTTCGTGAGATATCGCATTCATCTAACAGACAAACAAACAGACAGACTGACAAATACCTATCAACATACTTACCGATCTTAAGATCGATAAGTAGTAACTTCATAATCATCACGAACAGAGTAAATGTACCAGAGTGAACGATCAGTTGGGCCAATTGAAATGTTTAAGGGCAATTTTTTCCTAAATAGAATATTTTTTTTGATTTTGCAGTAATTTGGTTTATAAGATTAAAGTAGGAAATAGTCAGTTTGACATCCGGCAGGCATGTGATGGTTTTAATTTAATACATTGTTGTTAAAAAAATTCATAATGCACCGCCATATGGGTTTCCTGTCAGGTCGATTTCCGAGAGCAAATTGTAAGTAAACTGCAATTCACTGTACTGCTATCACCGTCATTATCACTAATTTAGACGTTTTTTATTACTTAGACCAGCGTTTCCCAAACTGTGTTCCCCGGAACACTAGTGTTCCGCGAGCGTCTTCGAAGTGTTCCGTGAATAAGGAATCAAAAACACGTCCAAAATGGTCGCCATGGGAATCTAAGGAACGTGAATTGTCGCCCAACTGACCGTTCGATATTGCAACTAGGGTGGGGTAGTGGCATTTTCGTTAACCGTCGGCCTAGCTTTTTGACTTTCAAGTTCATCATCAAGTTTAGAACAATTCTTCTGATTTTGCTATAGGCAAACAAATAGGTGTATAGAATAAAGACAAAAGATCAACTCTTCTTCCTCCATCTCTGCCTGGTTTTACATTGAAATTCTGAAAAAATCACTCATTTTCGCTAAATTCTATTCAGTAGATAAATAAACTGCAGGTCAGCAGCTGACGAAAGTGGGGCAAGTACTTCTATCTTCATTAGATGTATCATTAGAGGCAAACACTACGTAATGGGAAGTAAACGACATAGAATGGTAAAATGAATGAATTGATTCATATACGCAGCACTCGAATTAAGAAACAATAAAACATTTATATATAATAAATGCAATATGTAAAATATTCAATCATATTCAGGTATGTTTAACACAATGTTATTAGTTTTCGCGGCGCATTTGGCAACCTGCCACCCATTGGGAACCGCTACATTACACCGTTTTTCTTTATAAATTTGACTCTTACATTCTTTGGTGTTCCGCGTGGCGATATAAAAAGCGTAAGTGTTCCGTGGCCGAAAAAGTTTGGGAAACGCTGACTTAGACTATAAATTTATCTGTGAAATTTTGAATACATTTTGCAAATCGTATTTTTGATTAAATTCGAGTTTTCCATACAAAATATACTTGGATATTTATTTTGAGACAAAAGTAGCCTATATCCCATTCGTAAATTGAAAAATTTCTCATACGTCTGGATGCACTCAAGTAAATATTTCAACTAAACCAGTGGATTTCATACAAAACTGTATTAGTTTAGTGCAAAGTTTCACAATAAATGTGGTACATAATTTTGACCATTTTCACGAAGTTACTGCCAGCATCACTGAAAAGGACACTGTGAGTGATAAAACTTCGAAATCGTAAAGTTGTCCCTAATTTTATTCTAAATTCCAAATTTTCGCATAATTTCCCGATATTATACCTCAAAACACTCGGATTCAGACATGCAAATTCAAATTTTTTTTCCAAATAATATATACACATATTTGAAAATAGAGAAATTATACAAATTGAATTATCTATCTACAACAATATGTACAGTACAATATGCAAAATATCACATTTACTCTTTTTCAAAATTTGTTCCGATTAACTTTTATTTATACAATAATATTTGTCTGCATTCACTGTCTTCTTATCAAAAATTTTAATTTAACTTGTAGGTAAAATTTTTGGAAGAGTAGTTTAACAAATATGCAACAAATTTATGGGCAAGCTTTCATGCACTCTTCTTCTGTCTCGAAATTATTGTCGTTTCCCTCACATCCGCCATATGTGAACGTTTCACATTTGCATGTTTCTTTATTAAAATACCATCTTTCTATTGCAGCCTCGCATGGGCCCATCTTTGCTGGTTCATAGCATTTTTCTAAGTTGTAAAATAATATTCATGTGATATGTTATTTTTGATTTTTTGATTCAACTAAGAAATATTCTGATGCAATAAAGGAAAAATATTATCGTCTACAAATAGAGTATGAAAACTCTATATATAAAATAATTAATTAATTTTGAAATGAGATATGAAAAAACGTGTACAGATAAAAAGAAAATTAATATTCTGATTTCTTTGCCAATTGGTGTTAAATTGGTTTAATAAAATTTCCTATCATTTTCCTACAAACTGAAACGTTGTATGTTTTTTCAAATATTTATTAAAAACAAGTAATATTTTGAACAAACTTAAATTTTTCAACAAATTCAAAACTTACCTTTGCATAAATAAAAACAGAGATATGGATCCAGAAGCAAGAAGCACAAATATTTTACGCGACAGACTGCAAAAATTATAATTGTGGTTATTCATTTTACGTAGGATTGCACAACAATAGTTGCTTTTATTTTTCCCAAATTTGCTTTGAGATATAATCTGTTTTGTATCCAATATAAAAACATTCCAATCCAAAATTGAATTAATCTTCCATTAAAAAATCATGTAGAAAAAAAGCCTTCTAATTCACAAATTTTACTGGAGCCGAATATTATGTTTCATTGAATTTATACACGGAGCTGTATGTTTACTTTATGTTCACTTGTGCGTAGTCGGTTTGTATAGCCAACCTGTTAAAAACTGTTTGGTATTGTATGACAAAAAAGTAATACGACTAATTTAGTTGAACGAATAATATTTTGTGATATTCTCGTTTGACTTAATACTTTTAGCAATAAGTAGATGCAACAATATTATGTTTGGAAATAATAAGTGCGTCTTGGAGTTTCAAAAGATAATTATGGTTGCTTACTTTTACATTTAAGTTCATCAATGTTTAACTCCGCTTCCAAAGAATGACCTACAAGCATTAGCAGGAATATGCAACATACAATCTTCTTATTTTTCAAACTTTCCATGCTTTGAATGTTTGTTCTACCTTTATACTATGTTAGTATTTAAGCTACAATAAGGCTATTAGAAATCATTGAAAAAATCTTTTATGACGAAGAAGGGACGTAAGATTGCCATAGCGCTAGTCACAATAAAGATATACGGGTAAAGTTGTTTTGATGCGGCCCAGAGTACATTAAAACTGCTCTACAACTAACTTAAGCTCAAGCGCTATTGCTTGTGATTTTAAGATATCATTGCGATTTCTTATATTTTAGAACCCTCTTTTCTATGTGCCATTTTGTGCCATTTATTTGTCCCTTCAGGCAAAATACCTACACTGCTAAAAATAATTTTTCTTACAACTCGTACCATGCGTTTAGCTCACGCAAGCACGTGTTGAAATGGTTGCAATATAATATCTGTATTACAAATAACTTGAATTACCATGTTACCACATTTATTTTCTTGAATGATTAAATTACACAATATGCTAGGAATGAACTTATGGATTGTTTTGCAAGACTTTTATTGTTGTTATTGCTCTTGTAAGGTTGTTGCTGAAAATCATTCATTCAATTTCAAACTATTAGTATTTATAAATAGGAAAGTCGCTAGAACGCCATTAATTATGTATGTTATATTGAGCACATACAAATATAAGCTTCTAATATTTATATAAAAATATAATTTTCAAGACAAAAAAAATTGTCAAGTTATCAACATTTCATTGAGCTAAATCATGCCATAACTCAAACACATAACACATTTAGTTATATTATTCTTCTACAGCAGACCAATCGACCAAAAACGAAGTCAACAATATAATTTTATAATGTAACCTACTGGAGCGAACGGCTATTCGAGGCAATTATAAATAAAAGTAATTTTCTCATAATCCTGAGTAAATGCTATTTTTACGAAAAATTGCTGGCATTAGTTGATAAAATAAGTATGTTTATAAATGTTTGAAAATAATCAGGCAGACATTCAACAAGTTCAATTTAGTAAATCGCGTTTTCGGTATAGATTCACAACAAGTTTTTTCAAGGCGGATGATTTTCGAGGGTAATTGTTGGCAAATTTCGAGTTCTTGTACTGCATATTTCTTCCATGGGGGTGGCAACCTTAAACGACGATAGGTTCTTAATAAGTGTTTAGTTCTTTAGTTTAAAACCAAAATTCCGCGTCGTGCGTAATCGCTTGGAATACCTTTAATTACATTATAGGTATAATTACATTAATTCAAACATGCATGAGTATGCAAAATTATATCATGTAACATTATTTAAAACGAAGTAATTTCAGAGGGTAATTATTCGTCAGATTTTATCTATATTGGGTAACTTTTTTTTCGTGGAAATAACCACTTTAATGTGTAGTTAAGATTTTCATAGGATATAGATATTAAGTTTTTAATGACGTATTAAAGAATTTACGTTAATAGTACTAGATTAACAAGACAATTATCAAGCATTTATCTCTTTAAAAATCGTAGTTTGACATATTGTACCCGTGTAAATATTTAAAAGAGCACCTACATCGGCACTTAAATGTTTCAAAATTGCATGGTTCGGTGAACAAACCAACAAGCAAACGTAGTAGAAGACAAGGAAAGCGAATTTTAAATTTGATAAAATGGCCATGTTAGAGTTGTCCTAAACGCTAAACCTGTGTCTCAATTTTATTTAACGTAAGTATAAACCAGTTTAAAATTAATCAAATATGCACTTCAGTAATATTCAAGTATATAACTCAGTATATCTGTATATTTAATCAATTAATAAACCTTGTGCACTAAAGTTAGGCCGTGATATATTTATCAGTATAAATATCAGATAGAAGCTAATATTCGAAGGTGCCATTGCGTACTAATGAAATTCGTATCTACCTTTAGGCAAAATGCGGTACCAGAATTGATCATAGTTGCGCATGGATGTACTTTACATCAAGCATATTCTAACAGAGGCCTAATTATAAATCATTTATGACTGGAATGTTAAAAAAAATCATTTATATATAATATATATGTCCATTAGTGGTGCTATTCATTTTAGGCGTTTACAAGACGTTGATATCTCAAATAAATCATTGATTGTGTCTCAGAAATATATTTAAACATAGAGGCTGTTTTTTCATTGTAAATTATTTTGAAAGGGGCCAAATACTATTATAATTAAGGGGAAAAAATGCAGAAAAGTGACATCATAATCAATGCAATAAAATCTTTTATTAAATACCAAAGTATACAATAAATATTTTTTTTCTAAACTATATTGTTACACCACTGACATATATAGGTTATATGAGAAATGCTATTTTGATTTTAAAGGTCGTTTTGTCAAATTAGGTCGTTGCAAACAAATAATTGTTTTTGTCTAAGAAACATTGTCAAACTACTTTGTTGATTTCCGTTTTTTCACGAATAAAATTTATTTGTTTACATTCAAACTGCAAACCTCAAAAACCCGAACAAAATTTAAGAAGTTGTATTATAGGTTGTATAGGTGGAAGACTAACTTTTTCTCCATATAGAATTTTATACAAACAGCCATTTGGGGTGAAGATAACCACCATAAGTTTGGTGCGGTATAATCTGTCCGGATGTTAAATGAATTGAAAAGCTGATGGGCCAAATAATACCTTAATTAGAATTAGGAGTGGAAGTAGATTTAATTAACGTTATCGGCACTATAACTGATCATCTCACGGTCCAGGACTGCATGGATGTATACGTGAGCAGGCATAACTTCAATCAGTGCAACGCCATACTTTTTGAAACGCGATAAGCTGAATTAAATGACGACACATTTTTAGTGATTTTATTGCTTCTATAACATAAAATGCAGAAATATACATTAAACTAATATTGTCGGTGTCAGAACGAAATCTTCAATCGGCCGTGTCTGTTAGTGGTTGGAGTCAGGTCCCAGGCTCACACTAAAATAAAAAAAAAGACAACAGAATTAATATATTTTTATGTTACACAGGTTTCAATTCGGAGTAACTAAGTTTTAATTTGTGTGAAAAGCTCCAATAGAAAAGAGAAGAAAATGCAAACATGAAACCCAAATAGCACCACTTCGCTAATTATACCACGTCGTTAGCGGCGGTGACCGCCGTAAACTCTTATATTTGGAATAAAACGATGTTTATAAACCCCGAACATCTCGCACTTTCGAGTACAGTATTCCAAAACTCGCACTTAAATTAATGTATTCACTTAAGGTGGCGCCAATGAGCTGCTTCAGAGTCAACACAACACAGCCTCATGAAATCATGATATGATTCATATTGACGACTGGGAAAGTGGACTGCCGGGGTGACTGCGTTAAATTCAGATGGGATGGTTGGTGGGAAGTCGTCGTAGTCGTATCATCCGAGTCTCAGGTCGAATTTGTTGTGTTACGGGTCTCATATAGATGAACAATTATATTTCAAACAGAATCGATATTTTTTCAAAGCTTGTCATTATCAGGGCAAAAATACTCTGTGTACAAAAAAATAACTTGATAATAAAAATGAGAAATACTGTTATATGCAAATTCCGAATTTTTTTTTATGATTTTTGTATTTTACATATTTTTATGTACAAGTTCAAAAGAAGCTATAATGTTTTTTGGTTTGTTTATATTTCATAGATTCATCACAAAAATAATTGCTTTTGTAGGGGCCGTCGAATCATATTTGCTTCCGTCGGAAAAATTAAAATTTGAGCTTATACTTTGCCCTCATGCAAAACTTTCTATAAGATCTCTCTAGGTAATTCACGAAAAACTACAAAAATTTCAATTGTAGATTCTTAGAGCGTACTTTCTTAAGTTCACATTGTAAAACTATGAATTCAACATTATTAGCAGTAATGAAACATATTAAATAAACCAAATATTCGAGTTGCAAAACATACCTTGCAGCATTTGATGTCTCTTAAGGGCATGCATGATTGCATTCTTTTTCACTCCCGAAATTATTGTCGTTTGCTTGGCATCCACCGTAATAAAATTTCTCGCATTTGCAGGTCTCTTTATTGAAAAACCATTTTGCGATTCTCGCTCTGCATACACCAACTTTTTTGGGTTGATAACATTTGCCTTAAAATGACATATATATTTTTATAAACAAGATTTTCACGCTTTTTGAGAATGTACCGATGAATTGCATAGTAGTTAAAACTATTATTATGCTATCAAGTTTGTGTAAGTTATTGTGTAAGATTTCACAAAAAAACGTTCGCTGAAGCTAATGAAGTATTTAGATCGGGAATGTAAAATTTTAGTTGTTATTGCTCAGTTTAACAATTGTCTTACAATTTCATCGAAACCATGCTCTATTCTTGGCTTCATAGAACTGTAATTAGTTTTATCTAATTACCAAAAATTAAAATATTCTTTCGATAATTGACTTTAATTAAAAGCAGCAGATCCGGATAATAACTTTTTTGTGACGTATATTAGTGTCAAAAACATATATATTATACTTATTAAAAATTGGATACTAGTTTCGAAATCACTTCCAAAAATCGTCACGTCATTTATTTTTAGCAAAACGATTCTTTAACACAAAATACAATTTGTTAACGTATTACCAAATGGGACTCATTTTTGTTGTCAACTACGTTAGAGATCCTATGCAGGAATTTGCATTCGTTTAAAATTCAGATTATATAGTAATTTTTCCAATCTGTTTCAACACATGACATTGGAAAATTTTACAATTTACGAAAAAAAAATTCAAATAATATATATTTTACTTGGACAAAAACTCTGGCATTTATACAAAGATCCGAATTTATTCTTGTTTCCTCCACAACATCCCCATTCAAATTTTTCACATGAAGCTTCATCTACGTTGAAGTAGTACTTTGGACATATTCCATCGCAATAACCCACATCTTTAGACTCCTGACAGACTGTAAAATAAACAGTTCATTGTATAGCTGCTAGACTTGAATGGGTAATAATTTACCTTAGAGCAATTAAAAATATGTTTTCGAAATTTGAATGCAATTGATTACAAACGTAGTGTCTGATTATTAAAATTGTTTTTCCTGTTAGTTATTAACTTCGAATTTTATTGTTTTATATCAACTAACGACTTTTGTAACTCCCTTAGGCGACGTCATTCATATTGTGTTTATAAAAAAAGTATATTACAAAGAACCAAAAAAGTCGTTGTCGGTAAAACCGACGTCAAATATCGGTAATTTATTTGTTCAACAAA